TATACAACCATTTACATTTGTACAACCAATACAACTCAATCTCAACCGTCCATTTAATTTGATGAATATGTGATTTCATAGAAGTTTTGATTGTTTCCTAATATAAAGTATTGATCATAATTAATGAACTCTATTCATCTTCCATAAATATTCAAATCATAATAAATAAACTCTCATCATTTTTATAAATATCTTAATTAATTGGATTTCATTGTTTATACAAATAGATATGATTGCATTTGAATTGATGTTAAAAATAATGGCAAGCTAAGGTGGCGGGTAGGTGTGGCGATGGCCGCTTGACCTTAGACGAAATCCACATAATGACTCATCATGAAATATAATCGTTTTCCATACCTAAATTTAGAATTCTATCAACAATTTGATAAGTGTCATTATTGTCTACATGAGGGTTGGTGGATAGTTTATCACATTAAATACAATCAGTTTAAAAAAGAATATGTGATATTTAGGGTTTGTTTTCTTACCTCTTAATAGTTTTATTAAGAAGTAATGTTTGAATCATTAAAAGGTAAATCTTGTTTGGCAAAAAAAGTTTGTCTCTTAATAGTTCTACAACCCTCTGAATGATTTTGTATCTTGACCATCCCTTAACCATCAAGCGCCCTAATTTCATTGTAAACAATTACCAACAATTATATTTCATTTTCCATTATATTATGAGAGGCTCTTAATCATTCTGACCACTTAATCATTTTGTAACAAACAATTCAATAATTACCAAACAGTCTCTTAAATTATAATATAGAAAACAAAAATGAAATCATATTCCATAAGTTAATGTTCAAGTATTACCTTAACAACTAAATATAACAATTTATATTTAAATAAAATATATAGTTAATTATTTAATGTCCAAGAAAATAATTTATTTTAATTTCCAAAAAAAAAACTAAATGAAATAAAAAATTGAACAGTCTGCTAGGGGTGTACAAAAAACTGTCAATCCGCGAAACCCGTCCAACCCAACCCGCTAACAACTCAAGTAAACCCAACCCGTCAAACTGTCCACCCACCAAACCGCTAACCCGCCAATTAGGAGGGTTGAAATTGCTCAACCCGCCCAACCCGCCAACTCGCCAACTCACCGCTAATATATGATTTTTATAAAAAATTATTTATATATATGTTTATTATGTGTGTATATATATATATATATATATTATTAATGTATAAATTTTATATAATTTTTATTGATATTATATATTGTTTCATTTTAGCTAAACATATAGGTTACCAAAAGAGATTCACGATCAAAGAATGATGACAAATAATATAATTAATAAGGAAAATTATTGATTTTTTTTTTGCAGCAACAACAAATTGATATGTCGGAAAATATGAATGGTATTGATAGATATTTGATGGACGAATCCATCAATCTATGACATTTTTAAAGAGTTACATTCAGGGCCGTCCCTGGGGGAGGGCGACACGGGCGCACGCCCAGAGCCCAAAAATATCAGGGGCCCAAAATTTTCCCCTAAACTACAATAATAGTCTAAAATATTTTAATAAATTAAAGAAATCCAAAAATTGTAACATATAATTAGAGACAAAAAGAATTTAGTAGAAAATAAGGGCTTAAAAATATATCAACTAATTATATTGGAGAAGAAAAAAAATTAATTGGTCATTCATTATATGCTATTGTTTATTTCCTTTCTACTTTTTTTTATCTCCAACAAGGTCCAATGATATTGGCTATTGTTATCTCTAAAAACTTGACTGTTTTCGTACTTCAATAATTCAAAGTTAAGATCATGTGCTTGCTATTGCTATATATATTTTTTGGATATTTTATCAATTTATGATTTTATTGACTATTGCTATTTGGTTATCTTGTTCTAATTGTTTTTATTGACTACTGTTATTTATTTTTGCTTCTACATAAAATATTTTACTATTATTTGACAATCAATCTATTGTTCTTATAATTTTTGACTTGTTTCATGGTTTTGTGATTAATCAATAAATTTTTTCTACTAGATGTATTTAGTAATGTCTCTTATATATGTCATGTTCCATAAAATTTTAATCTTAACCACAAGGGTGGTGTCTGATTGGTTTGAGTTTGACTCCAAATGTCAAAAGTATCAGGAGGTCTCAGGTTCAAATCCAAGGAGGAATAAAAATCCCCTTGTGGCTACGGAGGTTCAAATGCGGTGACTCCGGGCTATCTGCAAAGCAAGTAGTCGTCCTGGGATTAGTCGACTCGCATAGCGGGTTGGATATCCCGGTTAATCAAAAAAAATCTTAATATCTTATTTTAGTTGAGCAAAAAAAGAAGGAAAATATAATTTAAATGTTTTCATCGATTGTTTGACTTATGTATCTTTCATTGGGATTCCATCACACCATAAAATTCTATTTAAGTGCTCAAACAATCATTTGTTGAGCTTGTATATCATATGTTAATTTCATTATTTATTTTTATTGGATCTCAACTGATCATTTTTTTCTTTTATATTTTTATTGATCCTCATTTGTTTACTTGTCAAGAAAACCTTGATAATCTTCTTTATTATTGATCTCTCATTGACTCTAATGATTACTTCATTCACACGAATTATCTTTTTATATCAAAATAACACATATTTCTTGTTATGAACTAAAAAAATTCTTACTTTTTATAAAAATTTATGAACCATAGTTTCTATACTCTTGGTTTTAAATTACCTAATAAGAAGTACGTAAATTTAAGTACTTTTATATATATATATATATATATATAATAAAGATAAATAAGATTTCTTTCCTCAGTAAATTATTAGCATTTCTTGTACTCAATTTTATACTAATAAAAAACATTTATTGAATTTATTTTCGTACTTACTGAATGTTACTACAAGAAAAGTGAGTTTTGACGATGCGCCTTTTAGCGATAACATGTTTCCGCCACAAGTTATAGCGTCGACATGTTGTTGGTGTACTCTTTCTGATGATAAATGGACATTTAGTGACGACAAAAGTCGTTGCTAAAAACCTTGTTTCTTGCAAGGGGCCCCTGTTCTTACGTTCGCCCAGTGCCTAAAAAATGTCAGGAACGGGCCTGGTTACATTAGAAAAAATGTCTTATCTAAAAGAGTTACAATGTGTTTATAGGATGATTTTGGACGTTTTAACAAATTCTATGATGCTTTTAAAATAAAGTGTCGTATTAGTTATTTTATACAACATGATTTGAAAAAGTGTCATATGAACATAGGTGTCCTATAAATAGATGAGTTTACGRGACACTTCTCAAAACGTTTCTTTAAAATAACTAATACGACATTTTATTTAAAGATCGTTCTAAAACACTTGTTGAAATGTCCAAAAATGTCCTATAAACCTATTGTAACCTTTTTAGATAGGACGTTTTATAGTATGGTCCATAAACTTAAGTTTTATGAATTATTTCATTCGTCAAATTATGTAACTACTAACCTGCCAACCCAACCTGCCTCAACCCTAAGGGTTGGGTTGGGTTATATTTTTGAATGAGTTGGGTTGGATTGAGATTTTTCTAAACCGTCATAATTGGGTTGGATTGTAAAATTGTTGTAAATCGCTCCACCCAACCCGGCGTACACCGCTAATGCAGCAATCGCTTATATATACACATATACATATACATACATACACCTCTCATACATATCAACACACACCATGGATAAGTTTCTGGTACTAACCATTCTAGTCTTTCTCTTCCTAGCAACAGCAGTCTCTGCTCAAGATTGCGGGAGACAAGGCGGTAACAGACCATGCACCAACGGGAACTGTTGTAGCCAATATGGTTTCTGTGGAAACACTCCCGCTCACTGCTCACCGGAAAATAACTGTCAAAGTCAGTGTACAGGTGGAGGTGGTGGTGGTGGTGGGGGTGGCGGTGCTTCCATCGTTACTGCATCTGCGTTTGACCAAATGCTCAAGTATCGAAACGACCCAAGATGCAGTGCAAATGGATTTTACACATACAATGCTTNGGTGGTGGCGGCGGCGGTGGTGTTGCTTCCATCGTTACTGCATCTGCGTTTGACCAAATGCTCAAGTATCGAAACGACCCAAGATGCAGTGCAAATGGATTTTACACATACAATGCTTTTATAGATGCTGCAAAAGCATATAGCGGATTTGGAACCACAGGAAGTGCTGATGATCGAAAAAGAGAACTCGCGGCTTTCTTTGCTCAAACTTCCCATGAAACAACAGGTATTTTCTTTGCTGTTAGAGAAGGAAACTACAAAAGAAACACATGCCATGAATTGGTATTATACATAGTATTTTCTTGTGAAACTTACCATACAGATTAAAATGAAAATGCATGGATATATATAGGTGGTTGGGCAAGTGCACCAGATGGTCCATACGCATGGGGATATTGTTTTGTTAGAGAACGAGACCAATCAAACAGCTACTGTGACTCCAATGCTTGGCCATGTCCTCAAAAATACTTTGGCAGAGGACCTATCCAGCTATCTCAGTAAGTCAACAAGTACCACTTTTGCTTGTTTCAAGAGAGAAACATCTATATCACTGATTCTAATATCTGACTGACTTTACTATCTGACAGCAACTACAACTATGGGGAGTTTGGGAAGTCAATTGGGAGGGACTTGATCAACAACCCCGATCTTTTAGCCACGGACCCAACCTTATCGTTTCGTTCAGCCATATGGTACTGGATGACTCCACAAGGTAACAAGCCATCTAGCCATGATGTGATCACGGGAAGGTGGACGCCTTCGGCTGCCGACAGTTCCGCAGGTCGTGTCCCGGGTCTTGGAGTGATCACGAACATCATCAATGGGGGGTTGGAATGTGGGCATGGTCAAGACAACCGGGTGGCGGATAGGATTGGTTTCCACACAAGGTATTGCCAAATTTTGGGAGTTAGTCCTGGGAATAATCTTGACTGCTACAATCAAAGGCCTTTTGCATAGCAAATGAGAGTCTTGATATTAGTCATCTAATGGGTATTTGAATAAAACGGATTTCGGTTTTAAAATATCAATATGAGCCCTCAAACCTATCCGAAACGAAGGTATGTTCTTGTTATTGAAATTGTTATATCAAAATACTGATATGGATTGGTATTAGATGATGTTAATTAGATTTTGATCAAATAAGTTCAAAAAAAGGTTCCGTAAGTGATTGTCGATGATACAACCAGAAAATACAATGTTTCGATAGAATCCGATGTTTTGTTAAGAAAATACCAACGGATCATATAGAAAATACTTGGGTAATCTATCACTTATTTGAGTTTTCCATCAATAATTTACCCATCAACTTTTATAACGGTTTTGTGACAAGTTATGATTGATGACCTCCTATCCATGTTATAGAATGTCACTCAGGGGCCGTTTACTAAACACTTACTAGGTAAGTGCTTACCGGATAAATTTCCTTATCGGATGAATATGAGAAGGGACAATAATCTTACCGGGTAAGAGCAATGAGAATGATGCAGAGTCTTACCTGGTAAGTGAGGATGACGAGTCTTACCCAGGTAAGTGCTTACCCAGTAAATTGTTGCATTCGATATGTTTTGATGTACTAAAATCTTGCGCATTAAAATAAATAATAGTGTTGACTTCTATCGGTAAGCGTTTACCAGGTAAACAATTGGGTAAACGGCCTCTTAGACCATCTCACTCATGGAACATACAAAAACCTCATTTTCCTTTTATTTTCTCACATTATTATCATCTCAATAGGATAAAACTATTTTCAACAGTTATGTTATTTTAAAATTTTAGAGATTTAAGAAAAATATTTGATCCAACAGACATACTAAACTTTCCTTTGAAAAAAGACGGAGAGGTTTTATAAACTCAGCACTTTCTATTTTTGTATTTATAAAATGTAATTTTGTTTATAAATATATAAATTTAATTTAATATGGTAAAATTATTTTTTAAAAATCGAATATAATCTTATTAATTTTTCACTTTTTATATTAATTTTAATTTGTTATTTAATATATTTGTTAACATATTTGAAAAAACAACTAAAACATAAATATAATTTTATACTAAAATTAGAAAATGCGAAGTTTCACAAATATTCATATCAATAAAAAGTAACAATGAATAATAAATATTAATCTCGATTCAATCAAATATGTTCAACCAAGTGAGATTAACTTTATTTAACCATCTCTTAGAATTTATTTGAAGATATTCTTGAAATTCTTGAGTGGAAGCTTGAAATATTTTTATTGAATTATATATCTTTTGGTATTATCTGTATCATCTATATATAGAGAGACAATTTGGTGTATCGTTTAAAAGTATTTATGATTTATGAATTAATTTTAATTTATATATATATATATATATATATATATGAGTATGTGAAAAATGATCTCCGCATAATAGTATAAAGAGAGAATTAAAAATTAAACTTATTAGAACAAAATATAACATTGTATAAAAATTTACAAGAAAAAAATTAAATTAAATTAATAAATATATTTTATAATAATTAACTTATACTTTTTGTATCAATTTTTGGGGAAGATAAGACCCTTGTTTTGCGACCCTGGGTGGCTGGTCGCATGTCAGGTCACACATAGAAAGCAAGGTTAAAAATCGGATTTCAGAGTAAAACTTTATTTGGCCATAACTTCTTCATCTCTACTCTGTTTTGGGCGATTGTTTTTGCTATGGATTCGTTTTTTTGATCTTTTAAATATGGGAACAATCATGATCAGTGATTCTTTGATGATTTTTAGCTCATATAAGTTGAAGGTAAGATCACATCTTTGTCCTTTGAATCTAGGGTTTGGGTTCTCTTTTGTGTATGTTTTGGAAGAAAAGGAAGTGTTATTGAGATATTTGAATCTAGGGTTTGGTCCTTCGCGTTTTCAAATCCAGGAATGGACCCACAAATATCCAATGAAATGGAATTGTCTTATGATCATGAGTGACATGCAGTTTGAACTTTCTCATTGCTCATATAATTGTTTCTGTTCAGTGGTGCTCTTTTTGTTAAGAGGTTCGGGAGGGTCATAACGCAATGCATGATCTAGGTCCATTACTCCTAGAGCCAGTTTCAAAGAATCTCTCCATGTTGCGAAGTTAGTCCCAATCAATGTTTCGGTCACATAGTTAAGGGTGATAGCATATGTTGAATAAGTATTATGATTAAATGTATGCAACGAAGACACTAAAGTGATTAAATGGGATAATAAACATAAATCATATCAATATACCTATCATTAACACCAAAATAGTTGGTCCTATAGACATCTTACCCACTTATCAATTTCACTTTGGTTACACCAACAATTGAATATTAAGGTGTCCTAAATATTATATTACGCTATATGAATATTGCAATCACCTTTAGGCAGAAATACAATACTTATGTATATTATGCTTAAAATTCATGGTACAAGTTGTCATCCAATTAGCCATTGGATTCCTTGAATGATAACTCAAATAATTGCTTGAGGTGGTGTTTTGCACAACTATAATGTCAAACTTAAACAACCTTTCTTTGGTCTAGTTGCTTAAGTATAACACCGAAGTTACCACTAATCATTGTAAAAATTAAAATAGCTAAAGAATTGGGGTTCCAATTTTCTGGATTAAAGTGATTATCGAAGATCAAATGAACAAGATAATGAAACTTAAGAGAATAAGTAAATCATGCTCTGATACCACGTGTAGATATTATTGAATAAACCAAGATCGGTTTCACATAAACTTATCTCTCAAGTAGAAACATAAATTCGTATTTGGGATAGTAAAGTAGAAACAGAAATACTTACTTGGGATTGATAATTTTGTTGAAGATGATGTCATTTTTGATTCCCTCATCTTATTGTAATGGTTCCTTTGATGAGTATATGGTGGATGGATAATTTCACACAAAATGGTGTTTATAAAGGGCATTAGGAAGTGGGAAGGATGATCCTTCAAGTTCCTAAATGTTTCTCCCTTAATGTGTATTTATTCATCATGATTGCATCTTATGGGTAAATTAAGGAAAAACACAAATTTAGTCCTTTGAGTTATAGACAAAAGTCATATCCATCATACTACATATATTTAAGTCTAGGGACCTGGAATCTCATTTTGGCAAACGTTGTGGTACTATTATAATTGTACCCAACGTGTAATAAGCATTATAAGAATAGTCTGAAGGCCACATTAACGACATATTTTTCAACAGCCCAAAGTTTAATGATTTCCCAAAGTTTGGAAATAGGACTAGTAGCATAGCTAGAATGAGGGGGGGGAAGATAATAATCAGATGAAGGGGAACTAGGATAACACTATTGAAACTAGTGTTGCCTCTGAAGCTATTCGAATTCACCATGTCCATCATCAAAAGATATTCAATCACCGGCTTTCGCCTATCAACAAATACTTCAGCCCCTATTTTCACCATCTACATCTCTAATGTAACCAGATGATTTGAAACAACCATCTCTGCAACACCATATTAGGCCCTTAAGTGATATTTCAACCCTATTCTTCCTGGGTATCATGAAATTCGCTCGAGGATAATCTCAAATTCTCAGTATCCATTTTGGCTGAAACCGTTAATATTTAAACATAGAGAATCATAACCGATCATATATTAATACCAATAATAATTTCTCACTAAATGGGACTTATTGCTAGAAATAAGTATTGGAAGTTACAAAACTGATAAAAAGCGCATGGCCCGTGCTCTTTTTATGACCAAAAACGCACGTCTCGTGCACTGCCATTTTCCACTTAGTAACTTGCCATACATAACCATCCAAAGATCTCGGATTCTAGTTTGCTTACACGAATGTGCACTCTACACCTTATAGCTCGTGTTATAACTTAGATACCAACCCTATTATTATCTTGTGAATCCAATTACCTAAAATGAAACCACAAAGGTGGTGTCTGATTGGTTTGAACTTGGCTCCAAATGTCAAAAGTATCAGGAGGTCTCAGGTTCAAATCCAAGGAGGAATAACAATCCCCTTGTGGCCACGGAGGTTCAAATGCGGTGACTCCGGGCTATCTGCAAAGTAGGTGGTCACCCTGGGATTAGTCGGCTCGCATAGCGGGTTGGATATCCAGGTTAATCAAAAAAAATTACCTAAAATGAACTGATGATTTCACTAAACTCATCAACATAGACATTCATGAATATATGTTAGAATACCCCACAATCTTAACATGTATTAACATGATAACCTTAACACATCCTAACCTACAATCTCAACACACTTTAACTCATGGTACACACATTAAAAATGAAAACCTTAACACAACTTAACACACCTTAACTGCTTAACACATGGTAAGGTGTTAAGATGGTTCCTAGTTCCTACAGTTCCTATCAGGGGCAGACCCAATGTGGAGCATACAATGGCATGGGCCATAGCTTTGGTCCTTCGTCCTAGAGTAAAAAAAAAAAATTAATGTTGTGAAAGGTGACATTGTATTATGTTGTTGGGTGCAACCATTTGTATTTTGAAACTACAATAATAACATAAGTTTCTCTTCGTAGAGTTGGTTTGTATGGTCCTTTTCTCCTATTCCAGGCCCATGTTCGAAGCTTAGTTGTATCATTTTGTAGTTTTTAGTTTTTAACTTTTGATTTCAAGTTTATAATGTTTCTCTTAGTTTTTAACTTTTAATTTCAGATTAATTATGTTTCACAGACATATTAGGATATAAAAAATTCAAACAAAAGACCTCACATATGAAAATTAAGGAACTTATCAACAGATCGATGATGATTTTATGAAAATTATCCATAACTTCCTTCTTATAATCAAATGGTGCTACCACTTGAAAATATTTCTAGGTATTTCAAGTTTCAAGACCTAAAGCCCGACCATAAAAAACTTGGTTTGAAAAAGGTTGTTCGAGCAAAAGATTATGGGTGTTTTCTTTATTGAAAACAGAATCCAGACCAAGACTCGAAAAAGTCATATCCTTGCGCATCTTTAGTTTTGACAAGTATTTATCATCATTCAAGTTGCTTATATATATATATATATAGAGAGAGAGAGAGAGAGAGAGAGAGAGTGGAGCGATCAAATAAAAACCACTCCAATTTGTAAAAACCGTAAAAACTACTCTCATCCATCGTTAATCTTATGAAATTTTTTCATGAAATTGTTAATATTGTGAAATTATTTCATATAATACTTTTTTTGATGAAGTTGTTTCATATGTGGTTATGAAATTATTTCATATACTACTTAATGAAATTTTAATGAAACTGTTTCATGTATTTCTCTAAAATTAAAATAATGAAGATGATAATATCCATGATTAACATTATCCTCAATAAAAATGGTTAATCAGCCTCTCATAATTACAAAAAAATGAACAAAATGAAAAATTATGATTAGTTGAACGAGGTTTTCACGGTTTTACAAATTGAGTGGTTTTTATTTGAACCCACCCTATATATATATATATATGTATATATATATGTATATATATATGTATATATATATATATATGTATATATATATATGTATATATATATATATGTATATATATATATATATGTATATATATATGTATATATATATATGTATATATATATATATGTTATAATCGTACTTTTTATGACTTTATTTGATAAAAAAAATGTTGATGTTTTAAATTAATGTAAATAACCGTTCTATCCGACTCAATTCACCTCCCAGCCAACTTTCTTTCACACTCATCAAAAAATCGGTACCTCCGCAAGTGCCTAGGTTGCAAGCCTGCAACTTGGGAGGGTATATTTTGAAAGAAAAAAAATAGTTGAGTTTTTCAAAATTTATGAGTAGACTGGTTTATCTTGAAAAATGGCAAGAAACCATACTGGACTTTCTCCCCTCGGCAATTTTGATGCCCCTCTACAATCTCTAAAGCTATGTTTGGCAAGAGGAGTGGCGGCCCTTGAGGTTTTTTATACAAACATCCCCTTCCGCAAGCTGCGGCAAATACACTTGCAGAAGCATCGACTTTTTGGTAAATGTATGTGAGAGTTGGCTAGGAGGTGAATTAAGTTGGTTAAAACAGATATTTAACTTTTTTTAATTCTAGAAGTGTACCACACATAAGCCACGCCTTACATATTTGCTATATGAGGCTCGACATCGCATCAAAAACTCGTCGTATGCGCTTTTCAGACCATCCTCAACCAAAAGTGCTAAACATATCACTAATGCTAAATTTCAGTACTCGTTTTTTTATCATTCACCATAATAACACTAATAATCTCCAAACGATTGGTACTTTTGTATATTTATTTTATAAATTATCATAGCATCGTGGTATCATATATTTTACAAATTCTATAAACATATAAAAAACAATACGTGAATTAGGATTTCATGAGAGGGACAAATCATATTTTGCATCTACAACATAAAGCATGCAGAGTGATGTACGTTTATGGTTTAAACATAAAAATATTATGTTTTTTATGATCATCATATATATATGTTCATATCATAAAGCATAATATGCTGACGTTTTAAAACTAAAACATATCAAATATTGAATCTTAACTTTCACTTGGTTCTACGGAACGTACGTGTTGATAACGTGTTATAGGGAAAACGAAATAGAACAACATTAAAATAAAGACTAAGAAATATGTAGTTCTCATTAATCATAAACTCTTTAAATAAGGATAAGTTTGCAAAGAGTCGTCATGATAAATTTTAATACGTAAAAGGATTTTCTTTTCTCACAAGTTAATTTAAAGAGTTTTAGAGGTCGTTTACCAAACACTTACCCAGTAAGCGTTTACCGATAAAATTTAACACTACCACTTATTTATCGTGTAAGACTTTAGTCCACCAAAATGGCATCGTATGCAACAATTTACAGTGTAAGCGTTTACCATGGTAAGAGTCGTCACCCTCACTTACCGGGTAAGACTCTTTGTCCCTTGTCTCCCTCTTACCAGGTAAGATTTTTGGTTCTTATTATATTCATCCGATAAAATAATATGACTTGGTAAACGTTTATCCGAATAAACGTTTGGTAAACGACCCCTAATTAAATCGATTTATAAAAACATGTGTCTAGAAATAGAAATAGAGATAGAGATGGTCTTCTTTGCCATTTAATTTGTGGCTTTGCAAATTGCAAGTAGGTGAAGTGTTATACACTTAGCCGCCACCTTTGCCATTATTTTATTTTTATTTTTTAAACTTAGGAACTGTTTACCAAACACTTACCCGGTAAGCGAATTAATTAATTAGTTAATAAGTTAGTTAAGAAATGTAAAATAATCGAATTAATTAATCCAACGCACCTCATGGACACTCACATTTTCATAACTAAACTGAACTTCGATGGAGCTTAACAGTTAACATACCCGAAACTGACCATCTTAACATGAAAATTTTCAATTTTATTATACATCAATACACTTTAACAACTCTAAACATTCATGAATATATGTTAGCATACCCCACAATCTTAACAGCTATTAACATCATAACCTTAATACATCTTAACACACCTTAAAATGAAATGCGACATCGTATTATGTTGTTAGGTGCAACCGTATATATTTTAAAACTACAATGATAACATAAGTTTCTCTCGGTAGAGTTTGTTTGTATAGTCTTTATTTCCATTCCAGATGCAGGTTCGAATCTTAGTTGTATCATTTTCTTAGTTTTTAGCTTTAATTTTTAATTGTAGATTTGTTATGTTTCTCTTAGTTGTTTTAACTTTTAATTTCAGATTTATTATGTCTCCGTAAAATTTAGGATAAAAGATTCAAACACAAGACCTCAAATATGAAAATCAAGGAACTAATCAACAAATCAATGATGATTCTATGAAAATTATCCAATAACTTCGTTGCTTATAATCAAATGGTTCCGTCACTTGAAAATATTCCTAGGTCCACCTGTTTAAATTTCAAGACCTAAAGCTCGACCATTCAAGATGCTTATAAGTGATAAACCGTACTTTTATGACTTTATTTGATGAAAATTGGAGTCGATATTTCAACACGCGTTCATTTTATGTCATTTTCAATAATTTGGCATTGAAAGGGAAATTTAAGCAAATAATATCCAAGAGGAAATTAACGTAAATAGTCGTTCTACCTGATTCAATTCACCTCCTATCCAACTCTCTTTCACACTCACCAAAAAGTCAATACCTCCGTAAGTGCCCAGGCTGCAACATATGTCATTACAAAGGTCAAAATTATGAAATCACAGTCAGGTTCATTACTTGAAATAACGGTTATTACGATGATAAAGAGATCCAAAAATAACGATTCATATAATAAGTAGAATTATATATGCATGCATAACTCAACATATTTTGTGTATTCGATAAAAAAATATATAAAAATACTGATGTCCCAGTACAGATAAAAATAGTTGAATGATGTGAATACTTTTATTCAAGTGAAGAGGTCAAAATGATGGTATCCAAATCCAATAGAACAAGAATAATGGTGTCCAAAGTCCAAAAAAAATTAAGAATAATGAAGCCTTAATATGGTTGGATTAAAATAAAACCGAATGCAAGTTCTAAATAAGAGCCTACAAAATTACTTTATAACACCAAAAAGCGTTTATCTACAAATAGCGGTCATACAAATGCTTTTTGGCATTCATTTAGCGGTCAATAACGCCGCTAATCGCGGAACTGCTATTTCAGACCGCTATTTGACCACAGCTATTTGTCCCATGACCGCTAACCACACAATAGCACCGCTATTGCACCATTATAACGGTGTGATTAACAGTATAGGCTACAACTTGTAGAGAGAGATTTTGGAAAGAAAAAAAAAAGTCTTGAGTTTTTCAAGAATGAGTGGACCGACTTGGCTTGAAAAATGGCAAGGAACCATAATGGGCTCTCAACCCTCCGCAAGTTTAAAGCCGAGTTTGACAAGAGGAATGGCGGCACTTGAGGTTTTTTATAGAAAGTGTCCTCTCCGCAAGTTGCGGCAAGTGCATTTGCAGAGTAATCGACTTTTTGGTGAATGTAGGACAGTAGGAGAGAGTTGGCTAGGAGGTGGATTAACCGGGTAAAAGGGCTATTTAACTTCTACCGCACATAACCCATGCCTTACACATTAGCTATATATATGGCATCAAAGACACGTCTTGTGCACCTTTTAGACCATCTCCAACTGACAGCGCTAAAGATATCACTATCCTATCATATTTTATGTTGTTATAGCGGTGAAAATACAAAATTACGATCGGAACCAATATTTGAAACAGCGGTTATAGCAGTTCGTATAATATTTCTTAGAATTATATATAACTATATATATATAATATGCCTACATAAACATATCATTTGCAAAATAAAAAAAGTGTTCATAAACGAGCTAATAGCAAACAATAGGTTCAGAATCTGAGTCAACATCATCTAATACGTTCACTTCTTCATTTAGGCTAGCTTCTCACTCTTCCCCTTCTCCCCCTAGTTCTTCCAACTTATGTTAATGGATTAAACTTACGAAAAATGAAGCCCAAAAAAAGAAAGACTAAAAATAAAGCACAACTATCTAAAAACAGAGACTAAAAATAAAGCCCCCCCCCCCCCCCCCAAAAAAAAAAAGTAACGTTAATATCGAACGCAATTGACCCAAAATATCGGTCAAAGTTGCGGTGCCGCAATCTGACCACCGTTATTTTGCTAATGTCCGGTACCCGAGATATCACCGCATTTAACAGCATAGATCCTATTAAGTATTTATTATTATGGTGAAATAAGAAAAGAATACAAATCAAAGGTTTATTATAATGAAATGTTATGAACCAAGTAATGAACTTAAGTAGTAATTCATGTTATTAATTAAGGGGCTTCAACTCTCTTGATTTCATTTTCCAGCTCTTGCAAAGTAGGCCTTGTTGGGTTATTACTATTGCTGCTTCTTAGTAGTAGTATACCAGAAAGATGCTTCAAACATGACAGATACTCCCCCTTTAAATCATCCACTGCCTTCTGACTTCCATACTACATGAACCAAATAATCATCAACTAAAATCATCCTCTTCAAGTAAGAATTAGAATTTAGAAAAAAGAATGTTTACCTGTTTAAAGGCCGAAATACAATCAAGAAGAGCTTTCTCAGCCAGCACCATGCTCTTCTCCTTGTTTAACTCGGCCTTACTAACTTCCACTTGGGTCAAAACATTTAACGCTTGCAACTGCATCATTCCCACGTAATTACTACTACATATCACCATTCTCGATTATTAGCTTATTACTACTTTTAAGTAAAACTGACCAGTATAAGCAAAGCTGTATGCTCAGAGTATGTATCATTAGACTTGCGGTTTGCTCCTTGTTTTACCAACTTATCCAAAGCTTGTCGTGCTACCCTGTCAAATGCCAATTTTTCTCTTAAACAGAAACAGAAACAGAAACAGGAGAATAATATAAGGATAAACCACCCCTTTTTTAACATATTAATAATGCTTCTGAAAAGTTGAATGTAGTAATCAAACCTTATTGAATTGCCTAGAAGATCTTTTGCCTTCTCAATAACTGCAATATCCTTACTTGTTTGGCTGTATAGGAGAAGCTCTACCCTAGCCATGTGAAGTAAGTTGGCAGCTATCTGATATTATTACAACATAAAGCTTAATCCATAAAACTGATGCAAAAAGAAGAACAGATATTGAAAAGAAAATTTGGTTATTGCACCAAAAGCATATCACCGGCTGACCGCAATATTTATATATTCAATCTATGAATGCTATATGTCAAGCATCATGTTTAACACAAAAGCAACAAGTGAGTACTCTGAAATATAAAATGCACAAGTTAGATAAGAAAATCTAGTTGGACAGAATGAATCAAGTGAAACAAAACATGTAGTTCGCAGTCGACTTTAAAAACTCCCAACTTTTATGGGTTGATTTAATTTTAGAAGAACAGTATAACCAATGCCCAGATGTAACCTATCTTGAACTCTTGATAAATCTGTCCTTGCTATGACAATGTTACGTTATACATAACACCAAAGAAAAGATAATTCTTGATAAACTTTACTTGCTAAGGCCTGATTTTCAATATGTACAACAGCAAAGACAGGAAAGATGAGATCAATGCAAGAAAATTACTGTTGAGTCAGCCAGGTCAATTGCTTGAAGCCTGTATGGTGGACGACAAAGGGAATCAAGGAATTCATTAAGTTCTCAACAGCATCCATTAGACACCGTCATGATATTTTTTACTAATTTATTCCTGGAGGACCTGCAATCATCACTCATGCAGACATATGCCCTCCTTGCTCTGTTTCTATCAGAATAAAAGTAGGATAGAAAATTCAAATTGGTCTCTGAGTATCAAATAGAAAGTGGTTATCTAAAATTCCTAAAAGTCAATGGATAATAATGTCATCCCCTGTGGGTTGTACTCTGTTCGTTCTGCTGCAGTGCAGTTGTACTACGTAGCAGACATCTAACCTGTCCTCATACTGGATTCTTAATACAATATTGATTCTAATCAACACAGAGACAAATATTTTCAAGCCAAGCAAGATATGTGTTCAGTACAGTGAACCACAGATAAGGCCAGTAAAGAACTAAGGGGGCATTTGGTAGGAATCCGATGAAAATGGAATGGTCAATTCCATTGAACAAATTCCTTAGGCACATTTGGTTGCAACATGGCTGGAATTCGATTCCGCCAAAATCCTCCAAATTTCATGAATGCAGGAGTCTTCCATACGCATAAATAAAACAGGTGATTTGATGAGCAATATAGCAGAAACCTGAATATGGTCTTCAGGAAGTAACCTTTTCCGGGAATTGAGACATCTACAACATAAAATACTCAAAGGGTGAGAGCATTTCTCAATTGTAAGTAGTATGGAGTCCATTACAATTACTATAGAGTTAAGCAACTACACCTTTCTAAAAGTTCTTTTGCTTCCATCAAACTCCCTACTGACTGAAGAGTCAGTGCAAGACTTTCAGCTGCAATGACAGTCTCCAAAGAGTCCCTCCCCTAAGCAATAAACACTTCTCCTATTATAATTGCCAACACTTTAAAAAACACAAATAAGCAGGATAAAACCAAGGAAAACCATGAAACTAATATGTAGACCTACAAACAGATTCCAGTTTTTTATCTGATAATTATGGTGGTAATATAAAGATGCTTGACCAATATTTGCAGTACAGGCTATGAGAATAGACTAGCATATTGTTCAAAACACCAATTTGATTCATAAAGTATAAACAACACACACAAGTCCAATTAGCTATTGATTTGTAGTATGCTATCATTCAAGTGGTAGTGAAATTTGAAATTTTCACTAATACTCAGCACCATTCCAAAGTCTCAAGAGTCTATAGACTTCAATAAATGCACAACTCCTCTTGATAGATCAGTCAAATATTCCCACCACTAAAATGTGGGTCTCTAGAAGGAATAGGAATATGAATATGCAGCAGCAAAAATAAAATGGACCATCAATTCATTTCATCAATAAGAAAAGGTAAGCATTGAAACCTTTGATACTTCCATTATATGCAAGATCTTTCTCTGTATGTTCACAGCATCAGTGAGTTTATTGCAGTTGATATAAATCTGCAAGGATGGATAAATTAAAACACTTTTAACAACTAGCCAATTAACTAAGTACGATGGATAAGAATAGTCAAATCAGAAAGAAGTAGACAACGTAATTAGCATATGAATCAAAGCCACATGATGTAGAAAAGACGTGCAAGGGATACCCAGAAGTAATTCAATGGGGAGCGCAAGATCAGGGACAAACCAAATTATATCCGAGTGTCATTTGGGTTTTATATGATGGTCACTCGGATAGCAGTTGTAACTAGGTTTTGTTGGTAGTTGCATATTCAAGGTCAATTTTGTCTATCGAGTAACTTATCATTTGTTTAGAGTACTGGGACCTGTTTTGGCTTAGGTGTAACTGTTATAAGATAGAATCACAATGATCTTGAAAGTAGAGCATAGTGAGGTTTAGTACCGTTTTATTTGTTAAGACCCATGGGCCATCTATTGCATTATGTACTCAAGGTGGGTTTCATCAAAGTAAACAAGCATTGTTATCTTATCATCGAGGGGGAACTTCATCTGAGAAGATATATAAATATAAGAAGAGAAGGAATCCTTAATGAGTCTGCCCAATCGACATCACGCATAGGCTACAACAAAAATATATAACCGCACCCTGTTGACTATTCATGAAACTAATCTTCCTAGATGTAACGATAAAGGTATAAAATGAGGAAACAATTCTCCCATTGGAAAAGTAGAAAAGTTGCAATCAGGAAATAGATAATCTAGAGTATATGATATAGTCGGCAATCCTCTTAATGGAATAATAGAAAGATATACTCAATCATCGAATTTGTTCTTCGAAGGAGGAATCAAACAAATGGCAACGAAATGCGCCAAGATTCCCTGGCTTTTCATGAAGATGCTGTCCTGTGTGACTCGAACCCTGAATTCTTAATCACAAAGGAGTAACTTTACCCATTACTGAGTACTAAGAAGTTTACTATATAATAATATAAGCAGAATATAACCTGAACAAGATACCGCAGTCTCCTCAGGAATAAGAAAGATTCTCCTTGCCCGCCATCCTAAACAGTTAAAGCAAAATCAGATGCATCTATGAAAACAAGCAACTGTAGAGAGGTTACAAAAGAGTTTACATTCAACAACAAAAGAATGGACCTCAAATATCTGAATAGATTCCGTGATGAGGGCTTCAGCATCCTTCACATTTCCTTGAAGGTATAGCACCTGTAAATCATGTTGAGATTAAGTAAATCCCATGAATCAAGGGATTGATTTACTTAAATCAATGGGATGATTTTTTTCTAAAATATCGAATGTCTATATATTGTAGGTCTTATGCATGATGAAAGCAAGGATTCATTTTTAGTTTAATAGTGCGTATTTTAATATGGTATTAGAGCAAGGGTTAAAATTGTCACTCACCAAGTGTTCAAGCCTTCAAATCTTCTTTCATTCCAAATTGATTAAAATATTTTAAGTGAGGGCAAACTTGTAATCTGTCATTGTACAAGGTAATCTTGTTTACGCTTAAATCACTTGTTAATTTATAGTTCATCTTCCGCACATGATTTTAATCTTTGTATAAAAGTTCCTTAAACAAAAAATTATTTTAAACTTTGAAAACATTTGTATTCAATCCCCCCCCGGGTACCTCCTCCACCTGCATTTCTTGTTGGGTGCATGTTAGCATTTATGATGGTTTAAGAAGAAGAAAAAAAAGGGAAATCATATAGCTCTTTTGTGACAGCATTAATACTTTTAAAAGAAAACATCGGCCTCCTAATAAGAAAAATTAGTACAATTGCATGAAGAATGAAATTGGCATTCAAATGTTTTGTATATCTATAACTACATAAAGAATATGACAATATATAGGAGACAGGTAATGGTGATATAGAATCCATGAATAGACAGAAATAGTTACTGCCAACAAGCATTAAGCGGAGCTAGGAGATCCAACGACTTTCTAATACTTAATCACCAAATAGGCGAATAAGTGAACACACCAGGTGAATGCATCAATTCAAGAATATCAAAATGACTTCTTGTAGCTTTTATCACTATAAGAAGACGAAAAATTTCAACTTCCAAAATCCAACTTTCTATTTTCTAGCAATCAGAAGGGAGTCACGGAACTTGCTTTGGCTGTATAGTTACGCCGAATAATCCTTCTTAGCAAAAATAATAGGGTTCCAAAATATAGCAGCAAGCTTAAGATTTTAAAACGCTTAAGCTATTGTTGCTAATTGAAGAAGCTTGAATTGAAGGAACACTCAACACCTAGACGACCAATTACGCAGCTTTAATTGTCTTATTTCTTTGTTCTTTTTAGAGTAAAGTTCACTTTTGGTCCCTGAAATTTGTCAATTTCAACGGATTTCGTCCCTCGACTTTATTTTAACAGATTTATCTCTCACGTTTGACACCTCATAACCATTTTCGTCCCTCATCCTAACGACCGTTAACTTTTTCTGTTAAGTCCAATATAACGAGGGGAATTTTAGTCATTTTACCTGTTTTCTTAATTTTCTTGTTTTTACATAAAACATCAAACTTTAGGGACCACTTACGTAATTATCTCTAACACACACACATATACACAATCACACAGGGACCAAATCTAGATATGTTCCCCCTATGAATCATGAACACCCTCTCCCCGATGACCGCTCACACAGGGACCAAATCGCCGGAGATCTTGTTCTCGCCCCTCAATTTCTGGGTTCACTTTTTCATCAGTGGTGATGGAGTTCACCGCCAGCAACAACCCACCCACACTGGTAACATTTCTCTTTGTCTCTCTCACTCAAAAATGAACATTCCTTCCTCCCTCCGTCCTTCCTCTGCATCTCCAATCCACGTCTTCACAGTTCAACCACCGGCAAGATGACATGGTCGGTGACTTCGTCCCTGTGATTTGGTCCCTGTTGAGTGTGGCCAGTGATTTTGTCCCTCTTCGCCGGGTCCAAGAGGGTGAGAGGTGATTTCTTCCTGTTATTTGGTCCTGTGGTTTCATCCCAGTGGTTTCGTCCATGCAATTTGGCCCCTGCGATCGTCTACATTGTATCTCCACGATGACGGACCAAAATGGGTGGGGGGATAGGTTGACCGAAGATGTCATGGTCACAGGTGTCATGTTGGGGGTTCACCAGGAAGGATACCGTCCCTGTGATATCATCCTTGTGTCTCTTTGTATGTGTGTGTATAGGAAAGTTCAAACGAGAAAACCGACTATTCAAGAAAACAAGAAAAATGTCTTTAATGTATAAAATCACGTGATTTTACATTAACGTCAAAAAAATGGAAGCGGGCGACTTTTGCCGCGACTAAGTTGCAACAAATCATGTATGATTTTGTACGTGAATCATATATGATTTTGTACATTAACGACCTTTTTCTTGTTTTCTTAAATAGTTAGCGTTCTCGTTTGAACCTGCCCCTTTATATATACACACAGAGACAAAAACATACATATGTATATGATAAGAGTAAATTACATTTTTGGTCCCTGTGATTTAGATAGAAAATAGAGTAAGTTACATGTTTGGTCCCTGTGGTTTTAATGACTAAAATACCCCTCAATAAATTGGACTTAACGGAAAAAGTTAATGGCTGTTAGAAGGAGGGACAAAATCAGTTGGGGATCGACAAACGTAAAGTTGAGAGACGAAAACTGTTAAAATTGACAAACGTTAGGGACCAAAAATGAACTTTACTCTTCTTTTTATTATGTCAGTTCAGAGTATCTTCTTGGTTGGGGATGCTAGGATCCTTAGATCTAACCTAAGATGAACAAAAGCTCACCAATCAAATCTTTTAAGAAGATAACCCTCCCCTACCTAATCCCCTTTTTCTCGGGGTAAAACCACATTTCGAAACACATGAACCCATAAATGAACAAGACATGTTCTTCAATAAGAATGATGAAAAGAAATTAGCAAAGGACATACAAATATCTCATGGCAGTACCTTTCCTAGATGATACATAGTCTCTGCATAGTCAGCATGATCCTCTCCCAAAACTTGCCTCTTTATCTTCGTAATTAGAAGAAGAGAGATTGTAAATCATTGACAACTCACAGCCAGATGTGTAAAAAAACAAAACAATTGGGAACTAGAGCACACCTTTAGGGCACGCTGCTCAAGGAATCATGGCAAATCAAAACAAAATTGAAGATTAGTTACAATCAGAAGCATATGAAAGCCAATAAGGTTGCATGTCGTAATTATGCATTCAGTTCAGACAATAGCATCTTGCAGAAATTAATCATCAACGGGAACTTTGTCCTGCATCAGCTATTTAGATGAAGACAATATACAGTCTCCACTTATGGTCACTTGAATTTTGGCTACACACAATTCTTTTGAAAAATATGTCAACGTGATTAATTTCACCACTTTTTACCCATGCTTAGGAGCATTGCTTGGTGATAATGACATGGATTTATGATCTTAGGTCTCATTTGCTTTGTAGGAATGGATTGGATCTGGAGGGATTTGGAATTGAATTCCTCTCCAATCTCATGTTTGGCTTGAAGGATTTCCTGGATTTGAGATCCCATTCCCAGGATTTCATTGAAATCCCACAAACATAGGATTTTGGAATCCCACGGGGATGGTTGGTATTTTATGGGATTTCCTAGGATTTAAATGTAACGATGTTTTAAAATATGTTAAAAACATTTGTTTTATGATAATCCATTAATAAAAAGATAATTTAATTATTTTTATAATTATTTATAATTTGTTTCTATAAATTATGTATAAAGAATGGAATTCAATTTCATTCCAAATCCTACAAACCATACATACCAAAGATTCCAAATCCTCCCAAATCCTTCCACGAAATCCAAATCCCTCAAAACCATTCCATCAAACCAAACGTCCCCTTCGAGTTTAGCATACGTTTTTTTCATTACGTTTTTTTGGATACACATACACTGATACGGAAGTTGGAAGGAATACCAAATTTGGATATTCGAATAAATAGAAATGACTAAAGATGTTTACACCTACCGCTCATGGATGTGGATATTACATTTTAGCATCTGCCATATACGAATGTCAAAAGTGTTAATCAGATACGAATGTTGCAGCATATCTGATCCATTCACACACTTACTCCCCTCTCCCCCTTTTTTTAAAGCAATAACGCAACATGATTCTGAGACAACTTAAGACATTTGAGGACTGCCTTCAAATTTCCTATCTTATAAATCATTGATTTTATGAACTACATATTTGTTGTTTGTTCTTGTCAATAAATATAAGAATGTTGTTTCTTCTATCATATCAAAAGTTATATTAGATGTGATAAAAATTATCAATGACAGATTGACAACTTCGATTTTGTTGGTTTTACTCCACCTCGATAAATGCTAAATATCTAACAATACCAATCCAATTATAGTTCACCTCTTCCTTACAATTAGCAGTGATTGTTGATTGGGTTAGACGGTCTAAAGAATTGAACCCTCTACTTCCGAAATATGATATGGCTTACCCTACAGATTTACAGGAAATAGTTGGAAAAAAATGCAATTGCCCTTTATCATTAAATAACTGCAACCATCAACTCATCCCACAAAATTTTCTATTAATATAATAAAGTTATAACTAAATCAATGGACAAGTCAAAAGGATTGACTGCACAGTATAAGCATGCATGTATACCTTATAGCAAGCATGAGCTGCATCCAATTTCTTTTGGAGAAGATAAAATTGACCTAGATTATGAAGGGCAGCCCCAACCCTACAATGAACACAGATTATAGGAATCACAAGCATCCATTTCATTTCAAAAGCAAGGGTACCCACTAAATGCAAGCACAGCACAATTTGGTTAATATAGAGATATGCTAGTAGCAATACTAAAGGGGAAAGGTATTTTAGAGTTCGAAGAGTTTTTAAAAAAATAACAAAGAAAAAAGCAAAAGCATTCTTATTTGTAAAACGAATAATAAAACAACTTTTCGAAGGAAAGACAATTCCATTATTTATACCGAGAGAAATATATGAAGAAATATATGAATCAAGTGAAACTAAAAAAGAAAAGGATTCTATAATCAGCATGGTTAGAATGGTTTCTTAGCATGAATAAAGTGATAAAGCATTGATTTCATAATCCGCTGAAAAAGCCTATTTCATGATAGCTTTTATCAAATCAGTATTGCCATGTTATCCCAATACCATCAACTTGAATGACTTGTTTCGCCACCAGACTTGGTAGATCAGCAAGAGCAAAATTCTCAAATATTCCTAAAAGCAACTATTGTGGTAATAGACAAATTCAACGTAAGGTTATGATTTTTCCCACTTTGTTTATAAATTGTAGTAGGGTAAGCAAAAAAACATATGCATGCCTTGTCAAAAGGAAATAAGTCTGAAAACCTTCAACCTTTCAATAAGTTTGTAGAACCAAGATCAAACTCTCTACAACTGACGTGAAGTTATTTACCATGTCACATTCCCATTACAATGACATTCCATCTTCAAGCTAAATGGTTGATATCATTGTATAACCTGACCAAATCATTTTATATTGAAGTCTAATATACTTTCTGTTTTGGGAACTGGGATATCTCATAACTTCCCCTAGTACAACTAAAACAGAAATACAAAGATCTATGAGAAAGCGTCTAACTAGTAATAGCTGCAGAATAGTAGATGCATGTGAGCTTTCTGGTGACTCATAATGTTACTCCTTTGAGACCTAAAGGTCATGGTTGGAGACATGGAGATAGTCTCTTTGCTAAATGTAATGAATGTTGCATATAAAGACTTCTCTCTCCAACCCTCACAAAGTAGAGGAGCCATGTTTCATTAAATTCATCTATAATACAAAGCCTATATCAAAATTAATGTTCTTTAGAAAAAAAAATCGAAACTTATGTTCCCCAATACTCTTGCATGTTTTGCCATGTTAGGAGAGGATTACAATTAGGTCAAATTACAGAATAGCAAGGATTTAATATGTTCATCTATATATGCACATAACCAATCTTATGTACACTTTCCATTCAAGCTTTTCACCTTGGTGATAGACACATCGAATTAACCCTAAACAATTGTGTCATAACATCGTCTATGTTAGAGTTTGACCCAACCACATTGATGCTTATGCTTTAAATGGCTAGGCGCAAACATTGAGCGAAGTAGCACCTTTGGAATATGAGTAGGACTCCTAGGTGGGACGTTCGTGGAGGCACCCAAAGGAAGAGCGATTGTCCTTCCTCGCTCTCCCAGATAATAATTTACCAGAACATCAGTTGTGTTACGTAATCGACTGATTACCTAAGCATTTGAATTAATTGACAAAAACTGAAAGATTACAATATGGAAGAAAGGAAGAAGACGATACAGACTCAAATCCACAGAAGGATCCCAGGGAAAAATTCCCTTCTCAAAGCAGTTGCTAAGAGCCTAACTGAATGGTTATTTTCTGCATGCCTCCACCACACGCCAAACCTCCTTATTATATTATCTCAAAATTACTAATTCCCTTTATGGGCCTTGGGCCGTCTCACATAGACTTTCCAAATGGTAGGCCTAGAATTGATTGGGCTTAATAGAGAAGAAGCTTGGTTCGGTACTGCATCAAGTTGCAACTCATTCTCTCATGAAAGATTGGTTCTCCTCTCCCAAAAGCTTTTAGTCATGTCTATAGCCCGTTGCTTTGAAGAAAGATCTCTGCGTAGGCTTAAAATATATTTTCGGAACTTTACATAATTGTGTTCTCCAATGACAAAAGCAGTCTCAGTATTTGCCTTCCAATCCAATCTTCACAATGATAGAATGTTTATAGACCTGGTTAAAGCACCTAGAGCTTTGTAAACACCTAATCTAACCATTAGACCATGTTTAAACCTCGTCGGAGGTCTTTGCCCTCTTAATCTCAAATCCACCCCGACGAGTGTTGATCCTCTTAATTTTTCAACTTCACCATTTTGTCACTCCCCTACTGGACGAACCTGTGTACTTACCAACTCTTATCGGCTAGGCCTTTCTTGCCTCAACCCTCTGACTAGATATCTCACTCTCTTCCCATTTGTTGGTAGTCATAAGAATCATAGAAGCTTCTTCCACATGTCAAAAGCTTGAACAACTCCTCACAGTCCTCTCTAATGTTGTTGTTTGCCTCCGAAAACACCAATCAAACCAACCAACCTTTTATCCAAGTTATCAAATCCTCCCTCACGTCAACTTTGAAGGTCTCATCAAAGTCTTCTCCCACTCCAATTGGTTCGCTTTTTGCTCCGGTTAGCCTTATCCCTCTGTAGGGGTATTTAAGTGACATGTTCTATAGGAATAGGTGTGGCTTTAATTGAAATAGTTAGTTTGTTTTTTTTGCTTGCATGTCTTGGCTCTTACCTATAAATAGGTTGGGTTATCCTCATTTGTAAAAATAATCCCAATTTCGTAAATAAGATTCCTTCAATTTCTCAGCTCTTCCAAAATTCTCTCTACATTGTTTTCTCTAATTTCTTGACAAACTGGTATCAGAGTGTTAGGGTTCCTTCTAATCGCTAATAATTGGTCTCCTTAATCGATTTGGATTTCGCCTTATTATCGATTCTGATTGTCCTTGAGTCGCCTTTTTCTGGAATCGTTTTCTGTTGTCAAGCGATTGAGTCAATTTAGTGTTCGATTCAAGGTAGAGCTCCTCGATTTTGGAAATTGATGGTGTAAATTGACGGATTAAGCAGTCAATTTGAGGAATCGGCAACTTCATGGGCAACAACAGTCAATTTCTAAAATTCATCGGTCTAAATTGATTCTTCTACAATCAATTTTGTTGTTGGGTGCTTAATTGGAGGTATCGACTTGTGACCACCAATCAAACTTGATGTTGATTTCTTGAATGGTCGATTGTTTTGGGGATCAATCTTGGGAGTACCGATTTTGGACAGCTTAGTCTGGATATTTATTCTTGATGCATATAAACACATGTATATATATAATAATTTATGCACATCCCCTATGCATTCATGCATATATTTAATATCAACACATATACATGCTTTCCATATATGAAAATATACACACTCTTATGTAATAAACTCATGTAAACATGTATCCATATAATCAAATAATCACATAGATTTTACCTCAAATGCATAACCAGGCATCTGGATTCCCTTGGCTGGTGAAAGGCTTGAACATATGGCTGAATTTGAGTTTGCACAAGATGAGAAGGCTCACTCTACCATCTTGTTGTCTTTGGCGGATGAGGTGATTTATGAAGTAGCCAATGAGGAGACTGCTGCGTCTTTATGGCTGAAACTAGAGAGTCTCTACATGATCAAGTCCTTAACGAACAAGTTGTTGTTAAAGCAAAGGTTATTCTCATTACGAATGAAGGAGGAATGCCTTTCAAGGAACATCTTGACGAGTTAAACTCCATTCTTATGGATTTGAAGAATGTTGAGTCAAGATTGAAGATGAGGATGCCGCCCTCATCTTATTGGTTTTGTTGCCCGCTTCATATGAAAATTTTGTCAACTCGTTCATTGTTGGTAGACACACAATTACACATGGAATAAGTTTGTTCAAGTTTGCACTCACGAGAGTTGCGCCATAAAGCTTTAAGAAGTAGTTCGGAAAGCCAATCGGTAGGCTTGTCGGTGGTAATTGAAGATAGAGACAGAGGTAGAGATAAAGGCTGAGAGAAAGGAAAAGGGAAGTGGAAAAGTATAGGCCAATCAAGATCGAAGACTAGAGGTCCAAGTGGAAACCCAAGGGATGGTTGTCACTATTGTAAAGATCCGGGTCATTGGAAAAATGAGTGTCTAAAACTGAAGACAAAAGGATCCGCTACTGTAGAAAGATGATTCAGGTTCGGAGGCTAATTTGGTGCTCTCGGTGGTTGATTGCAAAAGTCAGTCAGAGGTATGGATTCTTGATTCTGCATGTTCATTTCACATGACACCACATAATGATTCGTTCAACACCTATGATAAGATTGCAACCGGAAATGTCTTGATGGGAAATGACATGTCGTGCAATGTTGTTGGAATTGGATCGGTGAGCATTAAAATGCATGATGGGACAGTGAGAACTCTAACAGATGTTCGTCATGTACCCGGGTTGAAGAAAAACGTAATCTCTTTTGGAGTGTTTGACTGAAAAGGCTTCAAGTACACCGGTTAGGATGGAGTAATTCGGGTCACTAAGGGTGCATTAGTAGTGATGAAAGGAGTCAAGAGAGGTAACTTGTATGTGCTTGAAGGTAGCACAGTTGTTGGATCAGGAGTACCAGCACGTAATCCTGTAGAGAATGAGTCAGATTTGACATGTCTGTGGCACATGAGGCTAGGGCATGTTAGTGAGACAGGCATGGTAATTCTCAGCAAGAAAGGACTTCTTGGAGGTCATAGAATTGCTGAATTTGGCTTTTGTGGACATTGCATCTTTGGAAAACAAAGGAGAGTGAGTTTTTCAAAAGTTATCCATACAACCAAGTCGACTTTAAATTACCTTCACGTTGATTGTTACTAGGAATGGGCTAATAGCAATAGCAAAAGAAAGGTTAAGGCGGTGAGGCGAGGTAAAGTAAATCCCTCGCAAGTTCCTTCACTTGGTGGTGGTCGTTACTTCCTCTCAATTATTGACGATTACTCTAGGATGACTTGAGTATTCGTCATGAAGCATAAGAGTGAGTCGTTGGAGAATTTTAAGGATTGGAAAGTTCTCATTGAAAATCAAGTTGGGAAGAAGATAAAGCAGCTGCAAACAGACAACATAGTTTTGTTCAAGTGAGTTTGATCGGTTTTGTAAAGATGAAGGAATTGCAAGGCACTGAAAGGTTAGGCACACTCCACAGCAGAATGGAGTAGCCGAAAGGATGAATAAAGCGTTGCTGGAAAGAGTGAGATGTGTGCTGTCAAATGCAGGGGTTGACTAGAAGTTTTTGGGCAGAAGCGTTAAACACGGTTTGCTACTTGGTGAATAGATCCCCGGCAACGGCAATTGATTGTAAAACTCCTATTGAGGTCTAGTCTGGTAAGCGGCCGATTACACGGGCTTTAGAATATTTGGTCGTCCTTCATACTACCATGTTAGTGAAGGAAAATTGGAACCAAGTTCAAAGAAGGTGATATTTATGGGATACGGAATTGGAGTAAAGGGCTACAGAATTTGGTCTCTTGATAAAAGAAAGGTGATTCTCAGAGGTGACATAGTGTTTGATGAGAAGAGTACGTTACGTGGCATGAGGTATGCATCTACTCCAAGTGTTCAAGAGGAGAGTGTGTCCGAACAGGTGGAGTACGAGTTAAATGGTCCCGATGAAGGCGAGAATACTGCTGGACAGAATAGTAAATCGCCTCAAACTGAACCTGTTGTGCCCGAAAATCAGCACCAACCTGCAGAATTTCGATCTATAGCATTAGATAAGCCCCGAAGACAAGTTGGTAGGCCAATTCGATATGGTTTTGATGACATGGTGGCCTATGCTCTGCAAGTTGCTGAAGAAATGGAGTTCTTTGAGCCATCTACTTACAAAGAAGCAATCACAACGAAGGAGGCTGATGTGTGGATAACAGCCATGAGTGAAGAAATGGATTCCCTTCACAAGAATAGAACTTGGGAATTAGTGAAGTTACCTCAAGGCAGAAAAGTTGTGACCTGTAAGTGGATCTTTAAGCGAAAAAGGGGGCTGCCAAGAGCTGAAAGTGTGAGATACAAGGCCCGTTTGGTGGCTAGAGGTTATAGCCAAGAGCAAGAGGTTGATTATAATGAAATTTTCTCGCCGGTGGTGCGTCATACATCCATTCGGGTGTTGTTGGCACTAGTAGCACAAGCAAATTTGGAGTTGGAACAATTGTACATCAAAACGGCTTTCTTACATGGTGAGCTTGAAGAGGAAATCTATATGAGTCAACCGGAGGGTTTTGTAACTCAATCTCCGAGACAGTAGTATAAACGTTTTGACAGCTTTATGGTGAGTCATGGTTTTACTAGAAGCCCTTATGATTGTTGTATATATCATAAGAAAGGTGTTGATGGTCACATGTGTATCTGCTACTTTATGTGGACGATATGTTAGTAGCGGCTCGTGATATGGCTCAAATTAAGAAGTTAAAAAGACTCCTTAATTCTGAGTTTGACATGAAAGATTTGGGGGTTGCTCGAAAGATTCTCGGTATGGAGATTATCCGAGATAGATCTAGACGTAAACTTTTCTTGTCCCAAAAAAGTTACATTTTGAAGATACTTTCTCGATTTGGTATGGCTTCTGCAAAGCCTGTGAGTACACCTTCATCGGCGAATTTCATATTATCAGTGGCTTGGCACCTCAAAAGAGGCTGAGATGGAGTATATGAGCAAAGTTCCTTATTCTAGTGCTGTAGGAAGTCTTATGTATGTCATGGTCTGCACTAGACCTGACAAAGCTCATGCTGTTCGTGTTGTTTCGTGCTACATGGCTTATATGGGGGAAGAACATTGGGTTGCCGTGAAACGTATTTTTCATCACCTCAAAGGCACAGTGATGTACGTCTCATTTATGGAGGAGAAGAAGATTGTATTGTGGCTGGATTTTCAGATTCTGATTAAGCAACTGACCTTGATACACGGAGGTCATTAACGGGATATGTGTTCACTGTTGGAGATGCCTTAGTGAGCTGGAAAGCGACGTTACAGCCGTCTGTTGCTTTGTCTAAAACAGAGGCTGAATATATGGCTCTTATGGAGGCTGCAAAAGAAGGGATTTGGCTGAAAGGTTTGCTTGGAGATCCTGGGTTTCATCAAGATCAGACTGTAGTTTTTTGACAGCCTGAGTGCTATTTGTCTTGCAAAAGACCAGGTGCATCATGAGAGAACGAAACATATAGATGTTCGTTATCACTTTATACGTTCGGAAAGGGGAATTAAAGTGAAGACCGATGACAATCCAGCTGATGCACTGACGGTACCCGTTTCTTTGAACAAGTTTAGGCATTGTTTAGATCTCCTAAATATTGATAGCTGGAAGTAAAAAATTTACTGTGCTAGATTAAAGCCAAGGTGAAGATTTGTTAGGTGTGGCTTTAATTGAAATAGTTTGTTTGTTTTTTTTGCTTGCGTGTCTTGGTTATTACTTATAAATAGGTTGGGTTATCCTCATTTGTAAAAATTATCCCAATTTCGTAAATAAAATTCCTTCGATTTCTCAGTTCTTCCAAAATTCTCTCTACATCGTTTTCCCTAATTTCTTGACAGGAACTGAACAATCTAATTTGGTCAAATACCTAGCAAAGAAGCTCCTACCTTCCTTTCATCACGGTATTTTAAAACCCCCTTGCATGTTTTAGAAAATTTTGAAGGTTTTTTAGTTGGTCTTCGAAAGTTTTGTTTCTATGAATCGAGTTTTGTTGTAAAGTGTTGATGTTGTTTATTACTTTCTTATAATAAAAAATTCCATGTGGAGTTCAAAAGTTCCAAGGGTCATGAACAGAAGTTTGATATGTCCAAACTTACATTTGCAAATTTTAGTTCTGAATGGTTAACTAAAAGTTCTTACAAATGTGAATGCTAAATTTCTAACTACCAAGGAAGAGGTTTATTAGAAAGGTCACCACTTTGGTACTTCCTGCGGATATATGTCTCACAGTCTCAAACAAGGGATAGTTCTTTTTCAGAAGAAGTATGCTTTAGGTCTTCCTGAATATGTTTTACTAAGGTGGAAACCAGTAAATTTACCTATGTTGCAAACCGAAAAACTTATGCCTCAAGAAAGCAAACGTCTTTTGGCTTTTGACTACACTGTTTAGTGGGGATGTTTAACTACCTAAGATTCAACTTTACAACCCCAGATTCAACAACTAATCAGGTCCCCTAAGTTTTGTAGCATTGTAGTCAAAGAAGTAGCCAACTATTGTTTTCTAACAAAGCGGTAAAGCAACATATGACTGGTATTTCAACACATAGTTGAGAAGAAGTGTGCATCATTTTCCCAATGGTAATTAACATGCATTATCATGTACCTTACGTCTTCATGTCCATATGATTCCTCAAGAATATTAATTGCTTCCAAGTACAATGGTTCTGCTTTATCAAATGCCTTCTTAACTCTATACAATTCAGCCTGCAATCATTACCAACAACATACTAAAATAAAGTGCAAAGCTTTGAAGTAAATTTAGGAATTCGCCAAACAGGTTGTGTATTGTTAGAAGTAACCGTTAATTCAAACTGATCAGTCCAACTTAGTTGTTAAATAAAGCCTAGTTAATAGGAGATGATACTCCTGGTCTTAGGAGTATGTTGAGAATATTTAGCTTAGTTTGTTATTTTCCAGCCTATTTAACAGAGGCTTATGTTTGCTATTGATTTTGAAGCAGAAATAAAGAGTTCCCAGTGCTTCTATTACTTTCTCGTATACTTGCTCTTCTTAAATTCTATCAAATTGGTATCAGAGCCAGGTTCCTTCAAGTATTGAGCGTTTGATTTATCTGAAAATGGCAGCAAGCTTAAGCACTCTTAACGTATCTCAACCTCAAATACCCATTTTCAAAGGAGACTCATACGAATTTTGGAGCATTAAGACGAAGACCTTGTTCATGTATCAAGATCTATGGGAATTGGCGGAGTCTAGTTATGCAGAAACCAGCTATGACTATGCCCGTCACAATGACCATCAAAAATGTGAAGTGAAAGCTCTCTTTTTCATCCAGCAGGCAGTAGACGAGAGCATATTTTCAAGAATAGCTACAGCTACAACTTCAAGATAAGCATGGTCGATCCTTAAAACGGACTATCAAGGATCCACGAAAGTGATTACCGTCAAACTTCAGTCTTTGAGACGTGAGTTTGAAACTTTCTGCATGAATAACAAAGAATCGGTCCAAGCCTACTTGGCAAGAGTTTCTATGGTGGTAGGCTAGACAAGATCGTATGGAGAGAAAATTAGTGATGAAATCGTGGTAGCTAAGGTCCTACGGAGCTTGACTCCTAACTTTATATTACGGATCAATCCATATCTCAAGGAAATGGAAAGTCTACTACACATTCAAATTCCATTAATATGTATTTCTATATTTAGTTGATTGATTGTGACTGTGCATAAATTTAGGCAATCATTTATCCTTTCCATTGTTGGATTCCCTGTATAAATCCTCACTCTTGTTCAATAATATGAATTACTTATTCCCATATCCTCTATACCATTATACTTTGATCATGTAGTTTTTGCTACTAAAGAGTCGAAAGATTTGTCGAAATTGTCTTTCGATGAGCTAATGGGATCTCTTCAAGCCCATGAAGCAAGAATTAACAGGTCATCAATGAGAGAAGAAGAAAAGGCATTTCAAACAAGAGGAGAACCAAAATCCTTTGATCCCATGAAAGGAAGCTACTGGGGCCGAAGTAGAGGTAGCTATCGAGGCCGAAACAGATGTGGCAATACCTCTATACATGCTCATACTGCGACAAATATGGGAATTCTGACAAAGCACTTCAAATTGAAGCAGGAGGAACGGCAATGATTGTGCTAGGTAACAAAACAAAACTCATTAAGAATGTTCACTTTGCACCTTCGTTAGCTCACAATTTAATAAGCGTGGGACAATTGTTAGAAACTGGATATTCTGTGTTATTTGATGATAACAAATGTGTTGTAAACCATAAAGCTACAGGTAATACGCTTGCAACTGCTCACATGACAAAAACCCGAATGTTTCCTCTTAAACTCTCCGAGTACATAGAAGTTGCACCGGTTAATAAAGCAATTACAAATTCTACACTTTGGCACCTAAGGTACGGTCATCTCAACATTGCTGGCCTACAAGTGCTGAAAAATAAAGACATAGTCAGGGTCCTCCCCAACATCGTGTCGTTCGAGAAAGTGTGTGAAGGATGCATTCTCGAAAAACAAACAAAAAGGCCATTTCTAGTAGAGAAATCCAAACATGCAAGTAAGATATTGGAGCTAATTCATGTCAATCTTTGTGGACCGAAGAGAACAGAATTGTTATCAGGTGGCAAGTATTTCTTGCTTCTTACAAACGACTATAGGGCTCAAGTCTAGAACTTTTGAGCACTTCAAGAGGTTCAAAGCCTTGGTGGAAAAACAAGTTGGAGAACCCGTAAAAGCTCTTCGAATAGATCGTGGAGGCGAGTTTCTTTCAAAAGAATTTATTGATTTGTGTGACGAGCAGTGTATTAAAAGAGAATTTAGAGCGCCATACACACCGAAGCAAAATGGTGTGGCGGAATGCAAGAATAGAACGGTGATATAGATGACTCACCGATGATAAAAGAAAAAGGATTACACAATTCGTTTTGGGCTAAAGGCGTTGCCATTGCGGTGTATCTGCTAAACCTTTCCCCAACAAAAGTTGTTTCTGATCAAACACCATACGAGGCATGGAATGGAAGTAAACCTTCAGTAAGCCACTTGCGGGTTTTTGGTTGTATTGGTTATGTTTTACAGACTATGGAAATGCATAAGTTGAAAGAAAAGTCAAGCAAATGTATTTTCATTGGATATTGCTCTAACTCGAAAACATATCGACTTTATGACCCTCAAAGTGGAAAAATAACCGTAAGCAGAAATGTGGTGTTTGATGAGCAAAGTATAAGGGAATGGGAAGAAAAGTCCAAAGGATCAAGTGCACAACTTGAACTAGACGAACCGGAAGAAGAAACAACAAACAATTGTAGTGTCAGGCAGCTCAATGCCAACTGCAATAGAGACATCGAGTTCGAACCCTTCGGAGCCCACTTCTCATGACACTTTAGAAGATGACCTTTCTGATGATCTGAGTCACTCACTAAACTTGCACAGAAGTGAACGGGGCAGAATTCCACGACGTCGATTTGCTATCGAAGGTGAGTCACCTTTGTCATTGGCATTATGTGTTGGAGATCCATCAAGTGTTGAAGAAGCAATAAAACTACAAGAATGGAAAGAAGCCATGGAAGCAGCGCTGCAATCGATCGAAAAGAATCAAACATGGAAGTTGGTCAATCTGCCAAAAGGTAAAAATGCAATTGGTCTTAAATGGATTTTCAAAACAAAATTTCTTGCAGATGGAAGCATCGAGAAACGAAAGGCTAGAGTAGTGGTTAGAGGGTACGCTCAACAACAAGGAATAGACTATGAGGAGACGTTCGCACCGGTTGCTCGATTTGAAATAATTCGAGTTATCTTGGCACTTGCTGCCCAGAAACGATGGAAAGTATTTCCATTCGATGTCAAATCAGCTTTTCTAAACAGCAAGCTAGAAGAAGTTTACGTTACTCAACCACCAAATAAAGTGTTTCATCTCAAGAAAGCGCTTTATGGATTAAAGCAAGTGCCCCGAACGTGGTATAGCAAAATCGACGGGTTTTTTCAACAAAATGGGTTCGAGAGAAGCATGCATGAGCCGACTATATATATGAAGAATCGAGGGGGAGGTAATTTCATGATAGTAAGCTTATACGTCGATGATATGATTTATACTGGATCATCGTTGCATCTTATGTCTGAGTTTAAAGAGTCCATGAAGAATAAGTTTGACATGACTGATCTTGGAGAATTGAAGTAATTCCTAGGACTAGAAGTGAATCAAACAGAACATGGAATATATGTCACAAAGGAAATATGTGAAAGACACACCGGAAAGATTCAACATGTTGAATTGCAAATATTCCAACACCCCGATGAACACATGTGAGAAATTGAGACTACATGATGTAACAGAAAGAGCAAATGCAAGCTTGTACAGGAGTCTAATTGGCAGACTCATTTATGTCACACATTCTCGTGCAGATGTAAGCTTTGTTGTTGGGGTCCTATCACGGTTCACGCACAATCAGAGTCGACATCGCTTTCGAGCAGCAAAGAGTCCTACGGTATCTCGCAGGAACAATGAACTTTGGTATTTTGTATCTTAAAGTGGAAGTTTTTAGCCTCAAAGGATATACTGATAGCGATTGGATGAAGTACAACAGAATACTGCTTTATACCCGAGTCGGCTGCCATTTCTTGGAGCTCGAAGAAACAGGCAACAGTAGTGCTCTCCACCACTGAAGCAGAATACGTAGCTGCAACAGCTACCGTTTGTCTAGCAGTATGGTTACGAAGACTTATGAGTGATATTGGAATGAAACAAAACGATGCAATTGTGATATTCTGTGATAACAAGTTGGCCATCATGCTCGGAAGAAATCCGGTTTTTCGCAACTGGACCAAGCATATTGAAAACAAACATCATTTCATAAGAGAACTCAAGCAACGGGTGAAGTTAAATTAGAAAGTTGCAGCACTGAGGAACAACCTGCGGATATTATGACGAAGAGCCTACCATTCTTGAAGCATGAGAAGTTTTCCCTTCTATTGGGACTGACAGAGTTCGAATGAAGGGGGAGTGTTAGAAGTAACCGTTAATTCAAACTAGTCAATCCAACTTAGTTGTTAAATAAATCCTAGAGATTAGGAGATAATACTCCTGGTCTTATGAGTATGTTGAGAATATTTAGCTTAGTTTGTTATTTTCCAGCCTATTTAACCGAGGCTTACGTTTGCTATTGATTTTTAAGCAGAAATAAAGAGTTCCCACTGCTTCTATTACTTTCTCGTATACTTGCTCTTCTTAATTTGTATCATGTACGGCAGCTAAAATAAAGATAGACAAATAGAAAAGCAAAAAAGCATGCAAAGAATACAAGAACAAAACAAGTAAATATAAATCAGAGACCCACCAGGTTGTTGCATGCAGAGGCAACATGAGGATCCCTTTCCCCAAAACCCTCTTTAGCTTCTTGCAGTGCACCCACAAACAACCGCTCTGCATCCTCCAATTTGCCCTGAAAAGAAAAGCAAAAAGGCATGTAAAGAATACAACACAATGACCTACATATAAATTGCATATAAAAAATCTTGCCTGCAAAAATAAATCCCTTCCATTGTCAGTGAACACCCTCCACTTGGATGTATGTATGTTCGATACTACCGACCCATCATCAATTTTGCGTAAACCAGTAAAATCACTCCCACTTGAATCAGTTTCAGTTAATTCTGTCGATGCATCTTCAGCCAATACAGGAGTCAAGCTTAATCCAAGAAATAGTGCTGCAGAAACAATTTCCCAATAAGACTCGCAAAGCAAAGTATCACAAATTAAGGGTTTCACTGTACTAACTTTACACTTATTAAAACTTAAATCTTTTTTCTATTTCTATTACACGATGTAATACTCTTGTGCTGATAAAGCTTCAATCCAATTTGTAAAAATAAGCAATAAATACCAGCATACAACACTTTTAGTTGAAAGCTCATTTGATAATATGATAAATAGGGAGTCCACAATTTCACACATAGACTCAAATTAACATAGATGTCCATATTGCACATGAAATTCATCATAAAACTTACAAGTATATGATGATCAGGGTGTCGATAAGAAAGGTATGCCTGATGAACTACAAAAACATTAGAACTTACCAAAATTCAGATGAACCCAACAAATGACTCAATTCTCCTAACTCCCTAGGCCCACCAACCAATAAAAAATGAAGAATGTAAATTGAACTCTAGATATTAGCATACAGTTTCAATATCTATGATATTTTATATTAATCAGAACATAAAACACACTGCCCAATATCTCATACTCCGTCCTATAAAAATGTAAGGAATGTAGTTAATGTAAATGTTCCACTGTCAGATGTGCAAAACAATCTTGAATCAGTAACACTAATCAGTTGTACTTGTAGTAATACATGTGTCCAGATAGATGATTATATCTGGAAAACTTGCAACAAGAAGAAATTGGCAAAATTCATGTGACATCCAAAATGGAAATATTTGCAATTTCCAGTGGATTGATGTACAATATATTTAAACAGCCTGGCTACAAGTTACACCCACCATCCAAGAGTGTTGTTTTGAAAAAACCAAGAAACTTGATGCCTCAGCCTCCAATATGTCAAAGATTTCTAGTACCCCAATCACCATATTGAATTTAGGAAGTCTTTTTATAAAATTCTATTTGTTTTTTTTTTTCTTCTACATCTGTCTTTTAACACCTTTATATAGCCTAACTAGTTCATACTCCGAAAACATAATTAACAAATACGAAAATACGTGGTAAAGTAGTAACCTGGAAGTAATGCCACTAGGCTAGAAGCAACAGACCTCTGCTTACGCCAATTAACGGAGATAGAGAGCTGATCATGGTAATAAAACCGTGCAATGTGAACCGAACAGGACTTTGGGTCTGAGTTGGGGAAATGAAACCTAGCTCCAAGAGCTACTGGTTTGCAGAGGTCAGGTGTAGAGAAGATGGTTCTGTACGATAAAACCCTAGATGAAGATGATCGAAGAGCTCTGGAAGCTAGCCAAGCCAACCCCATTTTGATCCTCACCGTCACTGTTCTCTTCTACGATTTGTTTGTATCTAGAACTGGAGGACTCTACGGTTGTTTTAGCGGGAGAAATGAGAAAGGCGGCGTGTCCGCCATTGACACCCAATATTTTTATTTGCTATAAAAGCAAATTGTATGAAAATAAAAAATTAATATCTATCCTAGAACAGCGCATACTAAATCATATTATTTTACAGAATGAATATGGCAAACACCAAGAGTTTTATCCAATGAGAGCGGAGCAAAAGCCAATAGACTTATCCGGTAAGTGAGGACAAAGATTCTTGTCACGGTTTTTTTTTATTAACCTAGATATCCAACTCGCTATGTGAACCGACTAATCTCAGGGCGACCACCTGCTTTGCAGATAGCCCGGAGTCACCGCATTTGAACCTCCGTGTCCATAAGGGGATTTTTATTCCTGCTTAAATTTGAATCTGGAACCAACCAATCACGCACCACACTTGTGATTTACCACGGTTAGCATTTATCAGATGAATTATTGCATATGTTGTTGTTTTAATATAAAAAGTGGTGAACAAACAGAAGAAGAGGAAAATTTTGTTGAGTAAATAAAACTTCTTTAATGAACTTATAAAAAAATCTTCTAATTATTCAGAACTCAACGAGACATTCTCCCTCAAATTAGACAAACAAATAAGGGAATCCGTTGAGTTCTTATATTTTCATGTCTACAACTCAATTCATCCGTTTACTACAGGGATGAACCCAACCCGGAATATGAACCAGGTGAACTAAAATATTACCCAGTAAGTAAGTGCTAGTGTTGAATTTTACCGGTAAGCGCTTACCGGACAAATATTTGGTAAATGGCTCATAAGGGTGTGTTTGGTACGTAGAACAGGGTGGGACGGAATAGGACAAGACACACTTGTCCCATGTTTGACGTGTCCTCATGCGGAACAAGATGGAACTAAGTAGCACACACATGGTACGGGTGTGTATTCCCCCCCTCCCCCCAAACTAAATGGAACAAGAAAATATTTGACCAACATACCCCTGAAAACCTAATACGCCTTTCATACTCAGCCTCCTTCCTACTCGTCTCCTTCATTATGGATTCACCGAAGAAGAACCCAGGTAAAGATCGAAATCAATTGAACCGTGGAAGGAAACCGAAATCCATTCAACCTCACAGTCCCAAAACAAGAACTCTATCAAGTGCTCTCAATGGTCAAGCTTTGTCATCGTTTCATAGCATCAGCCCAAATCGAACTGACAAAATCAATTCTGAGCTTGAATCAAGACGTGGGGATCTCGAATTCATGTATCCACCCAAATCAAAACCTGTTTAAAATTGTGATAACCGGGTTCTGTGTTATACATTTGAGGTAATTATTTGATTATTTGGTTATGTGAGTATGTGATTAATTATTTGTAATTAATTTACAATGTGAATATATGCATATATATGTGTGAGAATATGTATCATGTATATGCATGCATGGGAATGAAAATGTGAGTATGTGCATGCATGGGTATATATATTGAGAATATGTGCCAATATGTATGCATGCATGGGTTTATATATATATATATATATATATATGTATATATATGTATATATATATATGTATATATATGTATAAAAAATGTAGGTGATGTATATAATTATGTATATGTGGATATGTGCATGTATATGTATTGGGTGTGTGAGAGGGGGAGGATTTTTGTATTGTTTTTTCAACCCGCCTATTTAGGCAAGTATATAAAGTGGAAATTTTGAAGAAGAAAACTTCTGCCATTTTTGAAAGTGTGAAAAGAGAGAGTGTCTGTGTTCCTGTGTGAATTTCTTGCCAAGAATAGAAGTTGGATTTGGGATCAATTGATTAGCTAGTTCTTGTTTGTTATTTTCATTTTCAATTTGAAAAGGGTGGGTAATCTATAGCAGTCTTTGAAATTCAAATTTATATTTTTGTTAAAGTTCTGTTTTTCATGTTTATGAACAAGAATTGATATTGTATACCTTGTATGTTCTTATGTTGATATGCATGGTTCGATGAGGGCTTATAATTGGACCCAGTGTTGTCCGATGAGAGTTCCTTATCGATCATGTCTTGACCGGTGAGGTTAATTGAGTTCTTATGTATTGTCCGGTGCGGTCTTTCCCAAATGAAGCTTCGTCCGGTAAGGACCTTTATCGGACAAGGTGTTGTCCGTTTTGGGCATCTATCACCCAAAATGGTTGAACGGATTAAATGGTAGGGGTTTTGAGTGTTGATCGGATCATGTGTTTATCGTCCAATGCCTTTTCCAGCGAGGATGCTCATCGGACAAAGCATTGTCCGGTTTAAATACTGATGTTTCAAATATTGACCGATGAGGTTGTTATCCGGTAATAGTGTTGTTCTGTGAATGTTGTCCGGATGATGTGTAGACTGGTGAGGTTGTTATCCAATCATAGTGGTGACCGATGAGAGGGTTATCGACCATAGAGCATGTCTCATTGCTTACATCTACACTACTAGAACCAAATTTTTGTCTTATATAACCCGAATGATATCTTTTCTTAGTGGCCTCATGCTTTATTTATAAGTAGTCAGTTCGTTAGTTTATTTGATGGTTACTCGACTAGATCTTGCATTTTTTGTCTGCATGTTATTAGCCACCTTATGGTTTCCCCTCAAAACCATTCGTTATGTTTTTCTTCTTTGAATACCTCGTTGTATCAAGATTTTTTTGTTTCATTGTTTACATTTTTCATCTACTTTCTTTCTGGATCTTTGCATCTCTCATATGTTGATTGGTATCCCTGATCTTATTGACCGGTTATTTCTCCATTTGGTTATTGTGTCTTCTTCGATAACTCCCTCCTTTCTTGGTGTAGTAAAAAATGGTCATTGGTAGCTCGTTTTAATTAGTACTGAAGCATAATTCCATGGACTCATTATGCCACCCAATAGTTGGTTTCGTTATGTTGTCTCATAAATGATATGAAGTTCCTCAATATTCTTGCATTGTTAATTAGTGTGACAATTGAAGTGTTCAAATTGCACATATAGATCATGTCTTTCATGAACGAACCACACATTTGAAATTAACTATCATTTTGTTCGCCAGCCAACATCTGGTTGACAACACTATTCCTCTTCTTGTTATTGTTTACATTGATCAAACTTTTGATGTGTAGCACATCACCCTAGAGGTTTTGTAACTATTCTCTCCAAACCATCTTGAGTTTGAGGGGGATGTTAGATTATTCATTTATAGTTATGACCAATTTTGTATATTTGTATATCCTTAGGTTCATTATATTTAACTTATAACGTTTAGTCATATAGACAGGTATTTTTCTCTTGTATAACAGCTTCGACATAACTTAAATCAAATAAACCTTTCTCGTTTTTGTCATTGTTCTTTATCGATCCATGGTTTATGACATCAGTAACGATTAACACATGGTACCAACCTTTTTTATGGCTATTCAATGCTATAAAACCCTCAAATCGATGTTTCCAACTTACAATCTTGTTTGTCCAAAATAAATTAAATAAAGAAGAAAACTTCAACCAAAAAAACGACAGGCGTCTTGAGGGGTATCTGATAAGGTTTTACCTTTACAAAGACCAACTGTCAACATTCTTTATGCTACATACTCTATATGAGGTTAAACTAGCAATTTTGACTTATTCGTGAAATGTTCTCGCAAACTGCTCCTTATTAGGTTGCAATCCGTCTGGAGCCCAAGGCTGTGTTGGTCCAACAATTGGATATGGTACCATATATCCACTGTAAAACGATGGCATCAAGCCCCTGGCATAGAAAACATCAGGCGGAGGAACGATATGATCCAATACTTGATATGCTCGGGCGTGTATCTTGAACAACTTCACCCAAGACACATATTGCACTTTCTCAATCTCTAGAGCCATTGGAATGAAGGTGCGTATGTTAGAGACAAAGAATCAATGCCTTTATTAGTCTTAGAAACATCGTCGACTGCCATGAGAATGAGAAGGTGTTCACGTTTTGGGAGAAAAAAACAACTAGGAAGAGGAGCGCGATGGAGGGATTTGCTCTGATATCATAAGTTGCAATTTATTACCTCCTTTGTATTCACATACCCATTATTATATAGAGTTCACAACATCTCCTATTCTTAAGGAAGATCATAAGTATAATACAAATATGGAGTATATCTTGTTGCCTAGTTGTCACTGTTACTCCTATCTCCGATTGTCGTTGCCTTGCCTTTAGTCGCACAAGCTTTTGTATCTGCCATTACCTATTGATTCCTTATATCCTCGTTGACTTGTATATATTTCTATGGGGGTGTTTGGGATTGCTTATTTGAAACAACTTATGTTTTTTTATAAAAGTGTTTATCAAATTATTATAAGTCAGTAAGGTTTAACTTCTTTAAAAACTCTTTATTACCGGTTTGACACCGGTATAAGTTTTTTATCCAAACACTCAGAAATGCTTATTACCGGTGAGGCAGTGACACACCGGAATAAATCAATAAGTTCATATTTTATCTCTAGAGTTAAAATCATAAGGTTTAACTAAACATGGTGGAGTGCAAGATTTTTCCAACTAAATGACCCAAACATATAGAGTTTCACGTCATTAAGTCACAAGCTGCATTATTCGTTTATTTGTTTTTTTAAATAAGATGATGTAAGAAAGTGTGCTTTTGATTTATTTTTAGTGTTTAAAATTGTAATAAATTAAATTAACCGATTGATTTTGATTATCAAGGAAGTATTAGTATATAAAAGGAAAAATTGCATCAAAATGAACGGTTTTTTGTTCCTTTTTTTATTTTGAAGAGCTTACTTTTACAAATTTTATTTCGATGTCTACGATGAAACATCTTAAATAAAAAGTTTAATAATTTTTTTCAATTCTTTTACAAAGTTATAACATGATTCCTTATATATCTCATATATATATATATATACACACACACTCACACACACATATATATATATATAACCTTTTCGGGAGCAATTCATCCTTCCCGAACGTAGCATGCAACTCCAGTACGGTTACCTTGTTACGACTTCACTCCAATCACTAGTCCTGCCTTCGGCTGCTGAAACTACGTGAAACCCTGACAAGGGTTTATGTACAAAGAACGGGCAAACCCTTATGGGTTGTATCCGAAGACATGGAAAAAGAAAAGGCCTTGTACACGTAATGGATCTTGAAAAAATAGAGATGTCTTCTACGTTACCCATAATATGTGGAAGTATCAATATTATTCCATTCCAATTCCTTCCTGATACCTCTCAAGGAAAATCTTGAATTGGATACTAAATTAGATATATATATATATATATATACAGAGAGAGAGAGAGAGAGATTTGGGATCATGTGAGATCAATGGTTTTTCGTGAGATCCGTAAGACCAATTCTCAACCCTTGGATTTAGATTTACAATCTAAACATTCATAATCACAATTGCCACGAGATTTCTCAATAATCACAAAATTGTCACCGTGCAACTTTAGACGATTAGATCATTAGCTTATAAAGTTGATCAATGAACATAAATTGCCAAATTGGTCTTATGGGTCTCACGAAAAACCATTGGTCTCACGTAAACCCAACCCTATATATATAATACGGTCCTCAAAGTAAAGCTTTCAGATTGAGCTACCAAAATTGAAAAAGAAACATAACACGTCCAGTAATGCAATTTGTGATATATAAAATGATGGTATATGTATAAATCTATAAATGCTTGACCTTTCAAAAACTTTTAGTTAATTATGAAAAATCAATGTTAAAACATATATATATATATATATATATATCAATAATGCATATAAAATCTTTTAGTTGTTATAATATTTTTATTTTACTCTTTTTTGTAAACAACAAGAATGAAAGTTAGATTTTTTAGAATGCAGATCAGCAAGAGAGCAAAGAATAGCTTGGTTCACATCGACTTGAGAATCTAAGTGTGCACGTAGGTCTGCTATATTCTTCAGAATAGCTGATTGAGAATCCGATAAAGCAGTCACTCGGGTATTAAGATCGTCCAAAGAAGCCTTATATACCCGAGAAGTAGAAGTAGATATAGCTGAGATTTGAGTCAAAAGGTCATTAATAGTAGAAGAAATTTTGTATTTGTCAGCAAAACCTTCAAGTAACTGATTTATACAAGAGAGAGAGAAAGAGAGAGTGGTAGAAAAACCATCAATTTAGTCCCCAAGTGCCGTAAAAGTATGGGTATAATTAGCTGAGGCACGTAAGTCTGCATCTCGATGCTCTTCCATGGCAGTAACTCTGGCGTCAAGGGTGTCAAACTTGCTATAAAAAAGCAGCATGCAAAGTAGCCTGCTAACAACCAAGCATACGATAATGAGCTGTGTGGTCTCGAAACAATTTTACCACTTTGTGTGGCATAGCATATAAAATCTCAGGAGAAGTTAGAGCAGTAACCCGGGAACTCAGATGCGGCGGAGAAAGAGAGCGTATGCAATTGCCTGCAGAAAAATCATTAAGAGGCCTGTGAGCAGGAGTAAGCGAACGAGCTTTGATTGGGCTTGCTGACCTATCCTAAGAAAGAATCACAACACTCACTATACCAACAGTCCCCTGAGAGTCACTGATGGGAATATCACCAACGTCAGCATGAGGCTGGACATTTGTATCAACAATACCGGCGTGAGGCTCAGTGTTTGTATCAACATCAGCGTGAGGCTTGTAGAGACATCGAGGTGGAGTGGTTTGAGATCCCCAATCATCATTGGGAGGGCACTGAGGAGCTGGGGGAATGTATAGCAGATGTCTTGGGCTCAGTAAGGCCAATTTCAACAACTTGAGACTGTTGAGAGTCCTTGGCTAAAGATGTATGTGTAGCATCTTAAGTTTCTTGACCTTCTTTGAGGAAGAACTAAGAGTGAATAACTTAGAATGCTTCTGTTTAGAAGGGTGTGAGGCGAGTGAGACTCCGAAGACTCTTTCAAAGTCGTAGCCTCCAAAGCAGATGCAAAGGGCACATGCACAAGACTATCAACTTTTTTCTTGGCCAATTATTTGGCCTTTTGGGAGCCAGTAGCTGATACAAGAAAAGGGACCATCGAAATAAATTCACATATCTTTTATGTTGAGAATTGAAATATGCGAACAAAATATTGAAAATTAAGTTCGGTTAACTGAGATTATTAATATATAGTCAAACACCAAATAATTACAATAACAACAAATAGAAATCATAAATTAAGATTAGAAAAACACTAATTATTTAAACAATGAAGAAAAACTATCACTAAAACAAAATTAGGTTTATATTACGCCAAAAAGTTTACACGTCATAATATACCACTTTATAATACTTAATTATTATTTTTCTAATATTATCTTATAATTTCTATTTTATTGTTATTGTAATTATTTATAGTTTGAACTATATATTAATAATCTCATGTTAACCGAACTTAATATTCAATATTTTTATTCGTATATTTCAATTCCACCTCAATATATATATATATATATATATATATGTGAAATTTATCTCGATCTTTTGTTTTTTCTTAATTTGAGATTTTTTTACGCTAATCTTTTTGTATGATTTTTCTTATAGTTTTTAAAATCAATATAAATTTTTTTTATTTAAAGATCAATAAGTCTTTCATAATGGTTGCTAACTAACATTGTGAAATGGATGAACCATGAGTGTTATGAAAATGAAAAGATTGGAACTATCAGTGTAGATGGTGTGTTTTAGGTAGGGCTGTGCAAAACTCGGCCGTACCCGAATTACCCAACCGAAGAAAACCGACCCGAACCGAACAAAATTACCCAAACATAAACCGAAATCCGAATCCAAAGACTACATCGGGTATGGAGGACCGGGTAGGATCTCGAGATCCACCCCCCGAACCCGCCCGAAACTCGAAGAACTCAAAAGGGCTTATTTTCTACTCTAGGGATTTTCAATTTTTCATCCACTCGTCACCGTCCGACCGACACCTCTTTCGATCGACCCTTATCTCTGGATGCGAATCTGCCTCTCTCGATCTCGACTCTCTTCGTCTCTAATGGTATATCGTTGTTGTCATTGGAGTTTTTTTTATTGTTATTGCAGCAAGCTGCCAAACAGAAACAAACAGCAGCCAACTAGCCAAGTAACAAGGCCATGACAATTGACAAGGTCTAAACTCTCAATATCCTAGTTACATATCGTAGATTTATAGTATTGTGTGTAAAATGTCCATGACAAGGTCTAAATGACTAATGATCTATCATTGTTGTGTAAGGCTGTAAGCAAGCAGCAAGTAGGTACTGGTTCGATTGTTAGCATAAAACCAAACCCGTTCGAACCCGAACTGCCCCTGAACCCGAATACCATAATTCGGGGTACGATATTTTAATCCGATACCCGATCGGGTTCCTTTTTTAAGGATAAAATCTAAAAATTAAGCAAACCACAAGGACCATAGACGTAATTGAGTCTAAAAATAATAATTGGAAAACTGGTTTTTAAATTTGTTGCACGTGCGGTTTATTCTATCACTATTCACTACCATGACAGGTTGCGATGCGATGCGATGCGATGCGATTGAAGAAGCACAAAGAAAACACAAATTAAGGCCAAGCACACACAGATCAATGACGTGGCATGGCAGCACACACAGCCCACATTTATTAAAAATATTATCCCCTTTTTTTTTCTAGAATAATAACTATATTTCTATAAATACACAAAAAATAGAAAATTCCATTTACATTTTATTGTTGAAGTATTTCCATTTTGAGAAATTAGTAATATAAACTATAAACCATTATTTATTTTTAAATAAAACAAAATATATAAAATTACATATACGAAATTATATCTATATTATATTATAAAACATTTGATAAAAACTCTTAAAAACCATTTTTTATATATGAAGTACTGTTTTGATTTTGCATAATTTTTTATTTATAAAATATCAACCAGTAGAATTTCATTTTCTAAAAATAGCAACAGATATAACCGCTAAATTATAAGATAAGTAAGTCTCTCCAGACCATACAAGTGCGCGTCGAACCCATGCGAAGGGTTTGGTTAAGATATGTCAAATTTAGAATTAAAGAACCGTTTACTAAACGCTTACTCGATAAGTACTTATCAGATAATTTTTCTCACCGTATAAACATGGTAAGGGCCAAGAATCTTACCCGGTAAGAGTGATTATAAAGATGGAGAGTCTTATCCGGTAATTAAGGGTGACGACTCTTACCCAAGTAAACGCTTACCAGGTAAATTGTTGCATATGATACGTTTTGATGTACTACAATCTTATCCAATAAAATAAATTATAATGTTTTTTTAACGTTAAACACTTATCGGGTAAGCATTTATGTAAAGATTTCTGAGTTGAGTCAATTTTTATGTAGAGGAATCGTAATAGATATTTTGAAATCCCGCCTAAAAAAACCGGACTTCAATACGTTCGTTGTTTCCGTTTTATTTCTTCTCAGATACACACACTCACAGAGAACACACGCTACACTTGACTACACCCAAGCAAACCAACGCAAAGCATATCCCTATCTCTATATTATTACTCTTCTCCCTTCTCTTTGCCTTATCTATCTTCGCCTGCGCCAACTCACTGAGTTCACATCAATCTCCACCGAGTTCCATCGTTTTTCGCCATGAAAGCACCTAAATCCAAGTCTGAATCCAAAAAACCCGAGAGCAGGTAACTCTTTTCACCTCCATCTCAACTTTTGGCATCTCCTTATTGTTTGTGAATTACGGTTGATTATGATCCACGATCCGCTGTTACAGGCTTTCCGTGAAAAAGAGAGGAGCGCCGGCTGAGAGAAAAGCGCCTGCACCGAAGAAGACCAAGGCCGCGGCCAAGGATCCTAGCAAACCTAAAAGGCCTGCTAGTGCTTTCTTCGTTTTTATGTATGTTTCTCTAACCTCAAATATTGCGAGATCCATCGATGTTTCAGAGTTTGTTCGCATCCGGTTAGTCCAAACTTCAAAGTCTTCCTTCTCGTGATCCTTGAGCGTTTAATCGTACAGGGAGGATTTCAGGAAGCAGTACAAAGAAAAACACCCAAACAACAAATCTGTGTCGGTTGTGAGTACTATTTTCCCTTTGACTTTTACTTTTTTTCTTCGATTGATCTATTTTGACTTTTTGTTGATATCCCTATGTCGTAGGTCGGTAAAGCTGGCGGTGACAAATGGAAATCATTGACTGCAGCTGTAAGCAAAATTTTCACCAAAACTAATCGAGCTTGTAAAATATTCCACAAAAATTCTTACTAATATCTCTTCATTCAGGAGAAAGCTCCATATGTTGCTAAGGCAGAGACGAGGAAGTCCGATTACGACAAAAACCTCCAGGCGTACAACAAAAAATTGGTAATTTCTGAAAAATCTAATCCAGCAATCTAAACGTATTCGAAGATACACAATTTGATTTGAAGAACTAAAACTGTAGGCGGAGGGGAAGGATGCTGAGGAAGAGGAAGAGGAGGATGAGTCTGACAAGTCCAAGTCGGAGGTCCATGATGATGATGAGAGTGAAGAGGTACGTTGTTATCTTAGTTCTAAAATCAAGGAAAAATAGCCTATAGTTCCAGCTCAAAAACCAAATTCAAAGTTGATCGACTTCGTGTGAGCTCAAAACTTGGCTTCGTGATTCGATGTTGGAACTCCCAAATCAAACAAAGTCGTTAACAGAAACAACTTATTTGCAGGATGAAGATGAGGATGATGAGTAAGGGAAACAAGTGTTTAGTATGTGAGGGAGGTTATTTTAATGGGTAGGATGATCCAAAATGAAACAGCTCACATGCTTTGATAATGGTAATTTCTATAACTTTATGTAAATCAAGTATGTTTGAATTTTATGAGGGTGTTTCCAATTTCCATTCCAGTAAACGGGTGGTTTTACTTTTATTACAACTTATATACAAAATAATAAATTTTTTTTATTAACCTGGATACCCAACCCGTTATGCCAGCCGACTAATTCCAGTATGACCACCTGTTTTGCACGTAGTCCGGAGTCCATCGTATTTGAACCTCCGTGGTTATAAGGGTATTTTATTCCTCATTGGATTTGAACCTGGACCTCTTGGTATTTTTAATTTTTGGAACCAAGCTTAAACCAATCAGATATCACCCTTGTGATTATTATTATTTTTATTCGATCGAAGCTGTTTGTGAATTTCATTAATTATTAAAATATTAAATATAGAGTTGATTCTAAACATTAGTTATGTATATTATTTGAAAACTAACTTCGAAGGCAACAACAATTCATCTTCTTATTTGAAGAACATCTTCCGATATGATTTCACAATTCGAAGATCTCGTTATGTGATTTATGGGAAACGATGACCAGACAACATAACTCCAAATATGAATATCTCGTATCGTCTTCTAATTTATGAGTTTCCCACCTATCACCTAAGCAATAACAAACGATGCAAGTTTGATGTAAAAGTGGCTAGAATGTCCCTGCTAGCACCCATCCTCTCCATCTACAACACCACCACCATCTCCGGCCTCGTAGTGGTGACCGGAGTTGAGAGAAATGAGGGTGCCAAAGAAAGGGGAGATGAACTCACTGGTGCTGGTCAGTGGTTATTTTTCTTCATTTGATCCTTAAAAGGAGTTGTACAACTAGCATTCCAAGTTGTACAATAAAAGCATGAGCATCTTGTGTGTTTGTGTTTATATAATGTCATATACTTTGTTGTTCTTTTAAAAGAAAATGTAAAATGATTAATAGATCCTTGACTTAATAGAGACAAAAACAGGGATCCAATCAATTACAAAATTGAAACCATGATGATTATGCTTGTAATTGTTGGACAAGGCATCGGGCATGCTTGGCTTGGTTTGGCCCGGCTTGCCTAGGCATGATATGCTTGTTAGCGTCGTGAGGGATCTAATCTAAATTTTCATATAACTACAGGGACTAAATTTGTAATATACTCAAAAATATATGACGTCTAGAACTAATTAAAACTTGGTGCTTGGTAGCTCTCACTGTCAAATTGTTGGCGATATGTATTACTTTGTAGTGGGTATATAATCTCTCTTTATTTCCCTATTATATATGTATAACCATAGTTTTATTTGAGAAGTGGTAAGTGATTAGAAAGTAAAGAAGTGATTCTAGTTTTTTATTTGGTTAAAATTTGTGGCTTTAATTATGAAGTATCAAATAATATACACAAAGTAGAGTGGTGGTTTCGTAACTTTTATAAATACACGGCAAAACAAGTGTATATGTGAACCCATATGATTTATATATGAACTCGTGTAATTCATATATGAATTAATTAATTTGATTCACATATACATTTATGGGTTCACACATGCATTTGTCTGTCGTCTATTTGTAAAAGTTACGAAACTATATTCTTTATTTTTCAATTGATTGATCAAAGCCGTAACTTTTGATCAATCTTGACCGTATCAAGGGTTAATTACTTTTTTACTTCTCAAATACTTGCTGTTTTTCAAATGAATCTCTCATGTGTGTGTATATATATATATATATATATATATATATATATAAATGTGAAAGAAAAATGCATGCATGTAGTGTAACCTCGAATAGAATTGAAATTAAAAGTTGATATTATATATGTCATGCATGAAATGCTGGTCGGCATCTTGCACTTGTCTTATTTATTACAAGTCTTGTGTCTCCGTACAAGTACTAGCTACTACTTTTTATGCATTGCCTCCTCTTTCTTCTTCTTTCTTCTTCTTCTTCTTCTTCTTCTTACTTCTTCACAGCCTACACAACCACAACAAAAGCAAGACACTTGTATATTAACTAACCATTTTATTTGTCATTAACTGGAAAATGGAAGAAGAATTCAAGTTATATATATATATATATATATATATATATATTGGTGATTAACGACGTACTGTTGGTAAGAAATTTTGATTCCTCCGGCTGCGGGATCAGCAATGGCGGAAAACGATTCGTGGGACAAGTCAAGGTCGCCCTTGCAACCAGGAGGGGGGCAGAAGTCGGTGATGACAACGGTGACCGTGGGGGTGGCTGAACAAGGGTGTGGTGTACCTAGATTGGTTCCGCCGGTGCAAGTCACCTCAAAATACTTACCGCAAACAGCACCACCATCCCATAATGCTTCACTTGCAGCAGCTATCATCACTCCCATATCTTGGTACCCGTAACAAGCTGAAGCTGCAATACATATTCATATAGATTACATGTATATCAAGGAGGAGGACGAGTTAACCAAGTGCATGTGTGTGTATAGAATATGTAAAAATTGCTGAATTACGTACGAACGTATGGAGGAGCATTGATGGTTCCGATGCCAGTATATTGCGACGATGCCTGAAGCCCGAAACTGATGAAAAGTATGGTCATGATGATGGAGCATTTGCTAATTATGGTTGCCATGGATGTATCTAACATACAATTAATCAAGTAAATAGGAGTTAAGGTTGTCTGTGTGAGTGAGATTAAGAGATGATATGGATGGTTATTTATAGTGAATGAATAGTTGGGGCATGCAGATGGAGTTAAGTAATAAGCACTGCTGAGCTGAATTGAAGAATTATATAATTAAGCACTTGATTGCATTGTGATTGGAGAAGATATGCTTTGGAATGAATGATGCAATGCAAGAAACAAAGCAAAAATGAGACAAAAACAATAAAAATCAGTTCTCACAAACTGTTGTTGGATTCCACTTCTGGGTTTTGGCCGTCCCACTAATTCCTTCCTCCACACATAGGTTAGGGTTTGGGAATTTGACATTGTTATAGGTATACTGGTTGAAATGTTAACCAAGTTTATTGTGTTAATTTTGTTAAGTATTTTTAACCAATGATAATCCATCTTATATATAGGTTCTTATCCATCTTAGAATTTAATGACAAGGGTAATTATGTAATTTTTTTATATAACTGCTATATCATTAATTGAGAGTTACAGAATCATAAAATCCCATGATTTTTGTTAACTTATTATTGAATATCCAATTATGTGAACATGTGAACATCAAAATGTGTATAAATGTATAGGTTCATGTTGTGATCATATATGTTCTATACCTCTCTTGATAAGACTATGTGTTTGTACTTGTTCAAATGGGTCGTTCACCATCTTACATATGGTTATATAATTGACGCAGGCTTCACATGTGTTCGTAACTGTTTGAATGATTTCGTATATGTCGATTTGTGTTCATAATGAAAGAATTATTGTTCACAAGTTGTTCATATTATGTTCATATGTAGACTAGTTGCGTTTCTCAACAGTGGGTGGCTCATGAATTTGTTCATAATGAAGGAACTATTGTTTACAAGTTTTTCATATTGTGTTCATAATTGTTTTTTTATTTCTTATCTTTCATGTAACAACTATTTTTATTGTGTTTATTACTGTTCATGTTGTGTTCATATCTGTTCTGAGATGCTTCAAGACACTTTGATAACGATATTTACTGTTTTGGTAACTGATGGTATCAAAAGCACATGATATTTTACATAAGCAAAATAGGAGATAAACAAAAATGCCAATTGAAAGAATAAGTCCAATTGAAATTTTTTGATTCATCTATCATTGAGTCCCCATGTTTTTTGTTCGGTTCTCAAGTCTTTAAACTTATGAAGTCTCGTTTCTGTAATGGACCAATTCGTGAGATTCATAGTTGCATTACTTATAGCTTCCTTGTTCGTAGACAAATCGGATTTGATGAATTCGTAGGTTCAATTCTTACTGGATGCACGCCAATAGCTTTGTATCAATGAAATTTTCTACTTAGTTCATATATGTTTGTGAAATTGTAAATTTAATAAATTAATTTTTTATTATGATTAATCATAACCGTTTATCGTAAGAATCAATGGCCAAGATTGGTTAACAAAATTAACACAATAATTTTGGTTAACATTTGAACCAACCCCTATATATATATATATATTAATTATTATTATTATTAAATATAACAAAACAATTATTGTTTATTTTTAGAATACATAAAATTACAACAAAATATCTAAAATCAATATCAGTAACATTCATAAACCAATCCATCCATAATCCGTTAGTTACTCATTTTTGACCCGTTTATACTTCCAACAATCAAAAGGACTGATTACGTTAAAGACCAAAAATACAAGGGCCGAAACGGACTTTTATCTTTTTTATGGTGAAGGAATAAAAGAAAACGACACAGAAACTATTCGTTAACAAAAATCCAAGAGCCCACTATCTTAACAGAAAACTGAATGATCGAAATCCCAAATCAGAGTTTGGAACGATGGAAGAAACCCTAGAACATCATGTCACATCATTAACAGCTATTTACATATTCTTCTTCATGGCGGCTATTCAGTACATTGATAGGTCCTTAGCACTCAAGAAGAGGGTAAAATTACATGCACATTTTCTAATTTTATATACTATTCCATCCTCTTTCTTTTGTTGGATTGGTGCCTAATGCCATTCATTGTGTATTTCTATCGATTTCCTACAATGGAATCCGCAATCATTTCGAGTTTTTGTTTTCTAGTCGCTAAATTTTCCAAGTATTTTATTACATTGCATCATTATTGGTCAAGTCTCACTTATCGACTTCAAATGTGGTATTCATATTGGTCAAGTGGATTTTTGTTCCCTGATGCCTGCAGATTCCATCCTACTTGACGAAAGTAACTTTGGAAGAAGGTTTCAGTTATAAGATCCTGATCCTCTGTGCTTCCCAATTCAAAATGATGAACACAATCAACACTTGTATACTATTTTATTTGTTTTTATTACTTGCTACTTAAATAAAAGGCAGCTGCATCTACACTTTTTCTTCATAAACTTCCTCTCATAATCATCAATTTTAGATTTATTCATACAATTACTGTTCAAAATAAGTTTCAGATTTGAATCTTGTTGGTAACATCTCAATTTTCTTATCCAAACATGATATCTTTTACATTCTTATGACAAAATGAAAATTTCAGTTCTATAAAGAGGGTTTTCTAGCTTTTGCATTTTGAGCAAAAAAAATCTGTTTTTATCTTGGGATGGAGAGTATTTGTACATACTATGTGCTTTTACAGGTCAGTATCACATTGTTTGTCACAGAAAGCATCCATGAGCGAGAAGGATCTGAAATTGTGTGCAGAGATAAAAAAACTGTTGAAAGAGGCAGCAGTTTTGTCACAGTCAGTAATCTCAACCATTTCCTTTGATTCATTTTCTTTGACAGGATCATGATTTTCTGTTGCTCACTTGTTTTAGAAGGAACTTTGAGCTCTTGTGGTGAAGATCACCTTAATAGTCCTTTACCAGTCTCTGATTCTTGGTTGTATTTCTAAAAAGCTCTTATTTATTATTTAAGGGGGAGAAAGCAGCTGAACTCCGGAAGTCACTCTTTAACTAAAGCAAATGCCTAAAAGAGAGCATTGCTTTGATGCATTTTTGAAAATTGTCATGTACTAAAATATGCTCGCTATGAACCGTACCACCTATCTTTTGTCCATCTATTAATAGGAATAACAAATTTTATGTTACTATTATGAAAAATGTGAACCTTTTGTACTAGATGTATTTTCTATAGCCAGCTCTAGGAAAATTAGATTTAGATATACTTGACACAACTTTGGTCATTGAACATATGCATAATAGTCTAACATGGAATATATCTTTCCTATCATTTAATCCAGGCCTTCAACGTTTGCTCAAGCTGCAAAACTTAGGAGAACAGCAGCAGCCAAGGAGAAAGAACTTGCAAAAAGTATGACTTCATTTGCTACTTCCTTTATATGGCTTGTGGATGCTTTTTTTACATTTGTCTTTCATCATCCTTCCTATTCATTCACACAAGTGATATTGCAGGATGCCAGGAATTTGAATTTTGGCATTAGATCATCCTTCATGCCTATAGAAAAGATTAATCTTAAGATGCGAAATAAAAGAGGATTTTTTATCCATTTCGTTGATACCCCAAATGAGAATACATACACTATATAAATACTAGCTTAGGGACTGTTCTATAACAACATATAATACCTAGATAAATACCGGCACTACTCAAAATAGAAATCCAGTCATTGGTTGCGCTAAACCAAGGGAATATTGTGATCTGAAGGCTGATTTCTTATCTGTCCTTTTATTCCTTTCTTTCGTCTCTATCTGGCASTGGTAMATTTYTGTATTTTCTGGATTGTATCATGGTGCACCAAGTTTTAATTTCAATAATCGACACAAGGAATACTTGCTTGGATCAAGTAAATGAGGATTTTAGGACCAATGCGAAATATTCCATCTAGGTACTTCTGTTTTGCCTCTTAGTATGTACTTCGTTATATCTGTTGGCCTAGAAGGCTAGAACCAAGGGATAAACCTGCACATGAGGGTGATCGAATGGGGGGTATTCCTCCTTTGACTATTTCGTCCTGGAGATTTTAGGATTGTTGTTTCTGATCCCAACCACAGTTTCATTACAGCAGCAGTTATGAATTCTGTATGATGAATTGACGTTCAGCCCAACCATGAAATTTTTGGTGATGCTCTTAGTGAAGCTACCTCCAAAAAGACAATAAGTCTGAACAAAAAGAAAAAAACAAATAGGTCTGGTAGCTTTTTGTGGCTGTGTTTCTATACACTTGAAGGGAAAAAAATGCAAATAATTTTATCTAATGGACTTGTTCATATACTGAGGCGTTCCTTTTCTAGAATTAACTCTGGGAAATTGATGCAGGGCATGAAATGTTGGAATGTCAGACTTGTTTGTTACTGCTGAACCTATCATCAGAAATAATGAAATCAGTAATACGAATTTGACTATCCACCCACGTCGTCCTCTTACCCCAGCATACCTTGTACTTTACATCGCCACATGCCTATATTAGTGAAGTTTTCTATCTAAGATAAGCATGATTGGAGGAAGCCCTGGATTTCATGCGATTCACATATAATATGAGATAAAAACCTAAAATCAAGCAAATTCGGGAAAAGTTCGAATTGAAGCCTTAAGAGATGGATCTTGGGCCCGACATTGGGCCAAAGCAGTGTAGCCTTTCTCACCGCATCCATGTCATCAAGACCATTCCATTGACTGGTCGCAGGTCCCATAACTCCACTTGGATTAACAGTTATGCCCATTTGAAGTTGGCACATTTTCCATCGCGCTTACCGTGTTCCCTCTGTTCCATATATTGATTGGCCTATTGTGTTATTTCTGCCTCATCACCTTGGCAATAGCTTTATCTGCTGGTAGGGGTTTCATCTATTCTCTGTTAGATACAATATTAGTTTGTAATCCTATCTTTTAGCAATGAAAGTTGATTCTTTCCAAAGAGAGGAAAGAGAGAGGCATGCCTTATAATTTACTTTTCATCTGAACCATGTTATTAGCCACACTTTTAATTTCTATTTCATTATTACGAGACTAATCCTAGAATGGCCTACTTATAATGGAAAAGCATTCCACAATGACTCGCCAGCATAGATTTGGGTCTTTCAGTATTTGAACCATCATAAATAGCTGTTTGGGATTTCAGATGTTTTACTTTGGTTTTTACTAACATTTACAAATTTGATCTTTATTTTCACATGTAACTCACTACTACAATAAACTTCATGCAGGTCAAGAGCTACTGACCATGGAGATGAAAACGTCATTTGGGTTATATGAGAGAATTCTAATGATTGTGAAGGTGATCCTGATATTATTTTTCATATTAATTGTTAACAATACTGTGTTTGCCAGACTGAGTTTGCAAGAAATATTTACATCTTTGTCTAACAGATTGTTGTATTTCTTGCACTTACCTTGTGGCATTGGCGTGCTCCTGTTGCTGCCATATCCAAAGAACTTGTGCAGCCTTTTGGTAATCCATTCTTGTCCTTGCTAAGATAATTAGTTGTATTAGATAACCATCTATCCTTATTCACCTTTATTGCTGATTTCAGTTTCCAATATCTTTCCCGTTTACTTTTTTTTTTGTCTTTATTAGCGTACAACTTGCTACAAACTGTATTAGAAGTAGAATTTGTGTTGATTCACTTAATCACCTTTTCAATGCAGGGTGGTTTTTATCTTGGACAGCTGGAGATTCTTTCAGCGACAATGTTATGGTAAATGGCTTTGACTTTATGGTTTATTCATATCTAGAAAAACCATGCAATGGGATAGCACACTCTGCATATACTATTATTCGTTTGCTCGTTGGTTAATCTTAGAGAAGGGCTAGTTTTAGAAAGTTAGCTTGAGGATATATCTATGCATATACATGGAAGAAAGAAGCTACATACATTGATTAATAGATTATGATACATATCTATATATGAAGCTCATCTATATATATATATATATATATATGTATAAAATCTCATCAAGCCTCATTTTGGAAATTGAAGCAGTAACTAACCCACCACTTGTGAGAGCATGTACTCTAAACTGCAATGTTCTAAGGATGCTCTTTAGAAAAACCAGACCCTTGACTTTTGAGATGAAACAAACCGGCCCATTAAAAGTCTTGGAGGGCTAACAGAGGTGAGCGGTTTAGTTTGACTACTAGCCGAAACCTAGTATGGCTTGGTTTCAACAGGTTGGCTAGCTAATCGTATGTGAGCTGAGCCCACTAAGCCTGTACTAGCCACAATGTCATTTACATCTTCTGATCTACTAGTCTCAATGAATCATTGTACATTTTACTTTAAGGTTCACTTGTACAACGTACAATGATAGATTTGTGGCTAGTACATTTTACTTTAAGTCATTGTACATTTACATCTCCTGATCTACTACTAGTTTCAATGACCTCATAGGAGCTGAGCCTAATTTGCTTTTTGAGCATCGGCTGTTACAGTGATAGATATTGTATAGAGAATCCTAGAATAACAGTTGTGTTAAAGAGAACCTAGTGATGTCTTCGAGTTGCAATACCACTTTCAGAAAAAGAAAAGAAAGAGAGAATGTAAAGACCCTAAACCTTGTAATTATTGAACATACCATGAAAATTGTAAGGTTACAGAACTATTCATCAACTTTTGGAAATTATAAAAAAACCTCCTGAAATTTCAGAGTTGCATATTACCCCTTAAACTGTGGAAAAGTTACAAATTAGCCACCCAACTTAACCTTTGTCAATTACAAGCAGTTGTTTTCTCCTAAGATGACAATGGTTTAGGTATGGTTTTAGATATTGAGCTAGATTGTCTATACCTGATTTATTAGATGAACCTGTAAGTTTTTTTTTTTCTTACCATATTGTTGGATGAAAGATAATAACTAATGGTTAGTGCAACTTTGATTGCAGATTGGTATCGTCCCTTGGTTGATATTATCTAACAAAGTCGGCAGATATTTAGTTAAGAAAATCTTGAAGTTGGCTTAACAAAAACATACCTTTGTTCATCAAGGGAGAGAGGTTTTCATCATTTTGTTATTCATTGCTATATATCCCTCTTATTTTGTAGCTTTTTGAAAGATTCAAGTAACTGATACAATAAAAGTAGACGTCATGTGTACATGCATAATCTCTCCCTCCCTCCTACTCCTACTCCTACTCTCAGGTACTTCTTACGCGCTTCGGTTGGATTACACCATTATATATATATATATATATGAAAGATCGTGTGAGAATAAGAGTTACTCTGAGAATGGTGAGAACATTATTGAGCCTTTTGATGAGTTGTTTTTTTAGTCAATTTTCATTACCTTCAACTACATTTATCTTCCTTTATTTTCAAATCCATCTTCTTTGTTAAGTCACTTTCACGGACTTTTACTTATATTTAATCACTTTCACACGTAGATGAATGTATTGTTCTTACCTCTTCACTGTAACTATTATCCTCACCGGAGCCCACTATGGATAAATGGTGATAACAAGGCTTCCTTGGGAGGGTACTTGCCTAAGTGGTCAAGCCCCATGTCATGATTTGTGAGAGTGGGGGCAAAGTGTTTATTTTTCAAGTCTCCAAATATCTCAGCCTCCATTCAGGTTTACTCCAAAACACAAATCATCATCATGTAGTAGATATGTATTGGTGCTGTAAGGAAAGGTGGAGGGGATTTCATGCTTATAAAATAGGGTCTAAGGCATTGCTTTCAAAGCATCCCAAAATATATATTTTGTGAGATTTGGATTTCATAGAAGAATTTGGAATTGGAAGGATCTAAAAACTTTGCAGCACTACTAGAAAATTGGGTATCACCGACGCCTTAACTCTGTCGATGATTTCCTACGGAAATTTGTTTTTGACGACGGAAATTTGGTTTGTAGGAGGTTTTTTTTTAATCAAATTTTGAATGAAATTGAATTTCATTCTCTATAGATGATTTATAAAAACAAATTCATAAAACTAAATTATGTCCTATTAATTGGCTATTAAAAAACGAATATTTTTAATATACTTTAAAGTATCATTACAAACAAATCTTATGAAATCCCTGTTTGATTTGATGAAATGGCTTTTAAGGGATTTGGATTTAGAATATTTGGTGTGTTTGATTTGTAGGATTTTGGGAAAGAAATTGTATTCCGCTCTTTATAAAAACAATTTATAGATAACTATAAAAATAATAAAATTACATTTTTATTAACTAATTATTAGAAAAGAAATGTTTTCAGTATATTTTTAAACAACATACAATCCTACGAAATCCCATGAAATACGAAGGATTTCAAAATCCCATGTTTGTAAGATTTCAAATTCAAGAAATGTTTGAAACCAAACATAAGATTGGAATGAAATTGAATTCCAAATCCTTGAAATTGTTTGGTTTTAAAGAATAATATATATTTGGTTATTTGTTTGTCGTTAGGTGTTGGTAGATTATGGAAAATGGAATGTATTGCAGTTTCGGTTTGAGTTTGAGTGGAAGATGACATTGTGGCAAGTAGATGGTTTGATAGAGTGATGCATTTAATCCATAGAGTGAGTGAGTATCTTCTTCTTTAATCACATTATGATTCTGTTTTTGTATAATAAACCAAAGAAAACAAGATTTGTTTTGTATACAAAATCAGAATCATAATGTGATTATAGAGTGAGTATCTTCTTCTTAATGGAAGTAACACACCATACGCTGAATCAAATGCCCTTTCCCCTTCCCTTCTCACCTATTTAACAAACTCTGAAAGCTATTTCCCCCCTTTTTACTATTTGTAACAGACTACCCACTGCTATTGCTTATTACGGTATTATTATCATTATTATTTATTACCAGTACTAGCCAATTCTCCTCATAGGATATGCATCCGACAGTAACTTGAGGGACATAACAGTTTTGCGTGTGAAAAAGAACACAAAAATACACACTCATACTCACATAATAAAAAAGAAAAAAAAAGCATCATAAGCATTTTACCGGGTCTATCTGTTACAGCACTCCAACTACTATTTGGAACCTTTTCTACTTGTATGCCATATGTGTCTTGATGAAATTTGCAAAATAGTTGAGAGCCTCTTTTATTTGTGGTGATAACAAATGCATGAATCTATGATAAGTAGGATTGAATCACCATAACTTGATGTACTAAACTCAAAATAATACATGAAATGAAATGACTCAAGCCCAATACCTCTTGGTCTAAAGCAACAATGAACATTTTTAAAAACCTGGTTTCATCTAGATTCTTTACATCTTTCTGTTTCAACACTATCATATACATACTGTAATTGGTTGAGAATTTGAATTTTGTATAGTCGAAAAAGAAAAAACGTAAGGCTCAGTTGCAGGAAGCCAACGGGAAGAAGAGAATTCAGAGGATAGAACGAAAGATGGTTGCGGTATGTTGAAACATGTTGTATTTCTCAATCTTGACTATTGTGCCTTGTTTGTCAGGTTTATTGTTGATAAGAGCTAAAATTGTCAAAGTTTGAAAGACAAACCTGTTAAAGCACTTTGGAGGACTGCGCCTCACTTTTTGGAGAAGCTAAAGGGTAGCGGAGTACGCACTTTAATTCTTCAGGGTGTCTTGTGTAATTTTTTGGAATATATATATATATATATATATATATTTCTTCCCGAATTATTTTCATTATTAGCCTCATTTTTGTTAGTTCTTTCTCTCAAATTCTCTCTCTAGATCTTCATATCAGGAGCTGATTTAGCTTTCTTTTGTTCTTCATTAGATTAGCTAATTAGTTTCTTTGATTTGCATGTTGTAAATAGAGTTCACATTCTTGTATAAACTCTTGTATTCTGTATATTGTTTAATAAAATCAGTTTTTAACACAGTAGTCAGAGATAGAGCCTGGGTTGAATGATTAGCACAACTGCAACCCATAGTAAAATAATACACCTAGTTGGACTTTTCCATGTAGGCTGTTGGCAATGGTCAAAGGGTTTGATTTTAATGTGTTTGAGAACAATTAGGATGCAAAGTCCATTCAAGATTTATTATTGGAATTGACATTTTCACCCTCAAATGCTACGTTCCCTCTTCTTTTTCTTGACGAGTCAACGGTAACATACACAATCACTAAAATCATACTTGAAAAATCAACCATGAATCAGTTACACTAAATTTGGTATTTGACGAGAGCGATCAAAATCATAATAAGTTCTAAGTCAATGACCATTGACTATGGAGCAGATTGTGCTAGTAGGAGATTGATGGTGGATATACGCAAATTGGCTTTTGAATTTGAAAGCAACAAGTAAAGCACATAAACTATACGAAGTTGAGAAATATGTTTCTGTATGTCATATATATATATATATATATATATATATCCTATATATTATTTAATCATATAATGATATTAAAAATTACATTCATATTAGAAGAAGATTATTATTATAAAAATAGTTTCTAAATAAATATTTAAAATACAACTCAGAAAGATAATTTTACAGTTTCGTTTTAATCGTAAATCCATAATGTTTATGAATTTGGGGAAATGTGGATTTATATAAATCTATAAAAATATAAAATTAAAATTGTAAAAATAAAATAAAAAAGTTAAAAAATAATGCACCGCAATTGCAATTGTTATGAGTCACTTTTTACAAAAATGTTTTGGGTAACGACTGAACCACGTCTTGAACATTGGTCCATATCGGTTCAGGAAAAGAAACCTTTTATGAGCCAATAATTGGCCATGGACAGTGTGCACCCACACCCACAGCCTCTCTACCTTTGACCCACATAAAAGTTGCCACGTGTTCAGAAAGACGGCTCAGGTTTGAATATGAGTAAAATTCCAATTCCAATTCCGATTTCAACTCCGACGACCTTGTTGACTTTACAGCCCATAAAAGGAGGGAGTTGTTCCTTTTTTTCTAATGTTCTTTAACTCACACTTTGTTCCGTTTTTATAACTTATAAATATTTTATTTTTTATTTTGTATATTACTTTGTAACATATATATATATATATATATATATATATAGCGTTTCAAATGCAACTCATCACATTTGTATAACCAATACAACCCAATTAATTGAGATGATTTACTAAAACGACGAGAGTTCATTTTATTATGATTTGAATATTTATGAAAGATGATTATGGTTCATTAATTATGATCAATATTTTATATTATGAAACAATCAAATTTTTTATGAAATTACATATCCATCAAATTAAATGGATAATTGAGATTTAATTGTATTTGTTATATAAATGTAAAAGGTTGCATAATAACTCATATATATATATATATATATATAT